AGAAAGTATTTATCATCATACTATTGAGCAAATGAAAGGTACATATAATTCAAGACCTTAAGCCCAGTATTGTGATTCCACCTCTCATCTCAGGAGAAAACCATGTAGGGAAAGGTACAGATAAGCTACAAAGTATCTGAATGAGTCATCAAATTAAAATTACCATAATTTCCCACATATAGTTAGATTTACACAATGTGTATCACAAAGTTAAGCCATAATGTAGGGCTTTCAAATAATTATAGCCTTGATTCCATGATTAGCCAGATAGTTTTCATGTAAAACCTTAGTCAGATCTACCCTAGTATGTGTTCTATAGTATGTCAGACTTAGTGTGAAAATCAACTTTCAAAAAAGACTTACCTATTATTATTGATATCCTTACGGATAATATCAAGTATCTCATGAATTTTTATTTGCATATGAAATTTTTAAAAATTGATAAGGTATTTATCATGCATCTCTTTGTACTTATTCAAAAACTGATGTTGGCCTGGTCTCTATTAGTCTATTTGTCAATATAACATTCTGCCTACAGTTAATAAGGTCACTATATAAATTTAATATATTAGGAAACCTATACTTTCCTAATTATGCTTGAGCACTTTTGTATGATCTGCAGGACTTATAGAAGGTAAATAAGAACCATGCTCTTAGCTAAGATAACCAAGTCATTATAAGAGAATGTGAAATATTATAATTTAGTATAATTTAGTGAAATTCTTAGATTATCTGCTAATCTAAATAAAACAATCAGAATAATTAAAAGTATTATATGATTCTATATATAACTATGATGTCATAACATATACCACAGCAACTGTAAAGTTCTGAAACATTCTAAAGGGATCACATGATATTAGGTGATCTAGTCTGGGGCAGCTTCATCATGGCAAGGGATAAAACAGTCCCCTTTCCATGGCCAATTTTCCTCCCGGTGTTCAAACTACCCCAGGATCACGTGAATGATGTCAACATCATATGTGATGGATTTTGGCAAGCTTATGAACAAACCATGAAGGTGGTGGAGGCCCAGCGACTTCGTCGTCTTGAAGAACGCGAAAAGGTACTCATTTAAAAATTTCAGCAGTTACAGCTTTTCCTTTATTGATGATACTTGCCGCTGCAGCTTGTAGAACAAGGCCGTGCAAACCAGCAACATGAAATTAATGAATGCCACTGCCAAATCGGCGAACATGATTGTCAACTCGGCGAATGTGATCGTCAAATCGTGAAGGTATGTATTTTCAGCAGTGAGAGTCTTCTGTGATTAATGGTAGTGTCTGTCCTGGACTTTAGATGCAAGCTGAACTTGAGTTATTGAAGGCCCAACCTGCAGCTTTGAAGGATACAGCAGAGTCACCATCACCATAATTCTAACATTGTCTGTGCAATACCTGCAACTCCCACCTTTCTTTATATCTGTTTCTTCATAAGGTCTAGAATACCAATCATTGATGGGTGGACTTGCCTGCACAATCGTGTACATGTTACACTACTGGTACTTACTATGACATGTCGTATTTCAGCCTCAGCATACAATGACTGGTCTCTTATCATTCTGCTGATTTGTTCGCTTATCGTCCCCGTGTGTTTGCGCATTGGTGCGCAGGCATTTGCCTGTGTGTTCTGGTATCATTAGTGACCATGATGATACTACTCAAGTATGAGCAGACACCGCTCTGTACTCGCTTAAAAAGTCGCCTATTTCTCAGCTCCAAGCAAGTGAGTGACTGAGTCTGCAGCATTTGAGCCACCCATTTCCCATATTGATTCAAATCAATCTCCCTTGGTGGTAACACTACAGACTCTGAGACATTGTCTTTGTCCTTTTGCATTGCCCTCCATAGTTCAGAATGTCAGAGCCTTTCATAAAGCATTCCTTACATCTTGATGATGCAGTGTCGACTCATCTACTATTATACAGCATACTACCATTAAATTAGAATTGGAACTGAATGTGGAACAGCTGGCATCTTCATTATGGCAAGGGGTAAGACGGTCCCCTTGCCATGACCAATTTTCCCAGTTTGGGTTCTTTCAATAAGTCACATGATTCAGACACAAGTACTATAGGTAATTATATAATAGATGCAACAGTGGCAACTTCTTATATAAGTGAATACTTGATCTGTTAGGTTATTCTTACAACACTTACTTTTTGAAGATTATAGTGGCTTTAGCTATAGAGCAAAAAGTTACTGGGTGTCATGATGTTTATGCTGCAGTATGCAAACATTTTTTATCTGCAAGATTTTGACTGGATACAATCTATCTTAGACTCATCTTGTAACAAGCTAGTTTGATGAGGTTTACAATATACTATGTAAACCTTGAAGAACTTACCCAACAAACATTGTTTATGCTGTATATGTACTACACTTAGTGTGGTCATTTTTAGGCTGGTCAGGATGTCTAACTCCAGATAACAGTATTGCTAAAAAATTGTTGGAGAATAAATTATGAATGTGGGCCTTACAGAGAACTACAGAAAGACAAAGCTTATAACCATCTGCTTACTTCCATTATGCTTGCTTTCATTAGTTTTATACTTAGCTATTGCTTTCTAGTGATAGTTAGTTACTAAGTTCTCTATTTAGATGTAAGTAGTCAAATGTAGTTGGCTAAAGATAAGTTTTGCCATAAATATGAACCTTATTCAAGGAAAATGATTAAGGACCACTACTCCAAAGAGTGGATTAGTCTGACTTATATTATCAAACTAAGATACTTATAATGTGATAACACTTTGTATCAGAGCATCTATGACTTTCATAAATATATCTTTCTAGAATAATTCCTTAATAAAATCTAGAATGTTAACTACCATGCAACTTCAATTAGAATACTCTATAGAGCTGAAAAGCTCTTGAGTGAATGCTGTTTCTTTTTCCTTCCTTTATTTTATTCAACATCAGTAATCTCATAAAACCTTCCTCAGATGAAACTCTCATTTAGTATTAGCAAGTAAAACATTACTATATTCAGTTTCAGACATAAGGCAATATATATAATGTTTGGGATAACTTGCAGTTATAGAGCCTAGTATATTAGAGGATAGATGCAATGAGAGTTACAGATAGTATATGTGATGGTTTTGCCAGTAAAATAAAATGTTGTTTCTGCACCTTCTAAGGTCAGAGGAATTTGCTCAAGAATGTTCTCAAGTCCCTTTAATTCTAAATGTCTAATATTTTGTACTACTGTTAATTTTAGATATTCTAACTCTTCACCTCTGACCACAATTTCCTTATATTATTTCGTACTCTTAGCTATTAAATCTTTTATTGCATATACAGCAGATGTATGCACTTAGCATTCCTTTGATTAGAGCAATATAATCAACAATAATTGATTATTAATGCAGTCTGTTATTTATTTCTACCCTAGCCATCTTATCTTATATGGAGCCTAAATAGAAATATTATTATCATACTTCCAAAGAGGTCTTACTAAATGTGGCCAAATATTGTAATGTTTGTGAGCTAGGCAATTTAGTCCTTCTTATGCTTTACTATTTTCAATCATCGACTATTTGTCTATAAGGTGTGTTCACAATAACATGTTGTATCTCTCTTTTGGCAATAGTAGAGCTTTACAATTAAACTGGCCTAATAAAAAGTATTAAAAAGATGCTGCTTTTTATATCATTGTCTAATAAAAATATAGTCCATCTGTTGACAGATCCCAATATAAGAATCTTGATAAAGGAGATAAAGAGAAGATAGTCATAGTTACTTACCAAAAGGATTAAGGAAGTTTTCAGGCTTTACATCTATTTAATCTAGCACCTGACTGGAGATATTATAAAAGCACCTGTAATTGGATGTGGCTATCCATGTAAGCTTATTCATATACTGCCAGCACCTTGTCCAACTAACACATTATAAACCCACTCCCTTCTTAGATGAGTACAATCATCATCTTGCCAAATATTATTGCCTTCTCATATCACTTACAACTATTTAACACACTCTAACATGTGTAGGACTGAATTCAAGCATATTTAGCAGTACTCGGGGATATAGTAGATAAGGGCTTTATTGTAATACAAATTATTAAAGGGAGCTTCACACATGAATATTTTCTATAGTTTTTGCATGTGCCATTAGCATACTGTAGTGTTCAACTACTTTCTTAGCTTGATTTTGACTTATTAAATAAGTTTCTGAAACTCTGTTACATGCTCTGGATAATAGCATTTATATCCAATAGACATATGATAGAGCCAGACTCAGGATCCAGTGTTCTGCCAAGAGAACTCAGAGACAGACAGATTGATAATAGTAAAATATAATAGAACATATTAACTTGAACTTGAGTGTATTATACTGGTACATAATGCAAGTATGAATGTTCTAAATTGTTAAAGGTATTGCCAGTAGTGTAGATATAATAGGTGATGTGAAAAAGATGACTAGAAGATATGCACTAGGTCTTACATATTTAAATCAATAAGCAAACTACTAGCTGTGTCAATGCCCAGCCTATATGCTGAATTCTCGAACAGGCGCTGTTTGAAGACTGACAAACATTCCAGGTAAACATCTGCATGGGTTACATCTATGCTTCTTCCTGTCTGCTCTAAAAGGCTCGTCCATGCAGCTTTGAGAATGAATTTTTTCTGCATGTCTGTGATGCCATCTCTGAGGTAGTTGGGATTCGCCTATATGTTGTGCTTGTTGTATGCGAGTATGATGCTGAGTACATGAGCAAATGTTGCACAGCCTAACCATTGCACCACAATCTCTTGTGTGTCTTTGATGTTATCGAATATCCAATGAGCTACCTGTGCTTGCTGAACTGCGGTCAGATCACCACAATACTTGACAGGGTAACCCCCAGTCAGCGACACTTTTATTCCCTGCTGCTGTAGATGGTGTCAAACAGGCAAATGTTGGATATCTTTGAGGCAAGGAAGGCTGATAAGGAAGTGTATCGTAGAGTTGTGTGGTGCAAGTATGGGATCCATCCATTTCGGGGGGATGAGGTATGGCATAGATTATATCTTCACTGACAGAAATATCATGCACATGTGTCCACTGACCAAACTAGTCTTGTTTGTCAGTATGTAAATGCAGCTGTAACACAAGCAATGTACCCAAATTGCATGCCTCCTGGCCCTGTCTTGCCATAACTCATTGACCATATTTCTTGTTTGAACAACAACCTGTGGATCCAAAGGTCTATCTGCAGGAAACCTACATTCATGCCACCACCACACTTTCCATGCATCTGTCTCTCCATGAAATTGAATGAGTCTGACAGGATACCAAAATTTGTCATGGCGAGCGAGTGCTCCTTTTCCTGCACTGTGGTTGTGTCAATAGTGCATGCACGACAATGGCTGCAACACATGCTTACAGCAATCATTTAGTCAAAGGGACCTTTGAAGCCTTTTCGCGACGACTCCTGGGCTCAGTCAGTCAAAGATATGATACACGAAGTCATTCAGAACTAACTGGTGGTTTTGTGGCTGTACTTGTGATGCTGGAGTTTGCCATGGCACAAGCTTGTGGCTGCACATGAACCTCTCTTGTGAACGAAGTTCACTAGCTCGGCCATTATGCTGACATGCAATGTGTGGCCAGTTATTGCATTCTTCACACTCAATCATTCCCTCCTCAAGCTGCATATCATACTCATTCCCAGTCATTCTACATTGACATGCCATGGAATATTCTGATTCCGACCCAATGACAGAGGTGGGATGTCCAAAGTGTGCTGGGATTGATCTTCTGTATGAATGGCAGGTAGCGATTCCCTGGGATGCTCTAAGTTGTTTGCAGGAGCAGGAGTCTCTTCAACAGGCTCTGGGTCACTGTCAATAAAAGGTGTTTCTTTTTGCTGTCTGTGCCATGTTTCGGGCTGACTGGGAGGCTGACACCTTTTATTAGTATATGTATGATTACCACTGAAAAATAGAGTGCATACTGGTGGTTCAGAGAAGAAGCCTGATTCCTCATTGTCCAATTGAGCTGTCCAACATTCATCATAGTAGTCTACTGATTTGGTCTTTGAAGGGTTGTATAGCCACTTTTGCTCTTCAGGCAGAAGTTCTTGAAATCCAGGATGGGCGCACGAAATCTTTGGGTTGCCCATGAATTCTCTTATAGCTGCTTCTAAGACATTGGCATGAGCAATAAATAGGTGAACTGAAAATGGTAAATTCATTCAGCTTTTTCAATCTGGTGATCACGGAAGTAGGTTTGGGCTGCTGCCCTTCCTTAAAGTCGATAGGTTAAAATATATACAGAGTACCCTTCAGAGACTCCCTGTAGCTTCATGAGGGTGTCAGCCATATGGGATGAGATAGTAGCTCCCTTAATCAATTTTGCTCTGCCACCATCCTCCATATCATTGTATGCAAATACTTTCTTCTGGTCCAGAGTGTAGCCAGCAATGAAGTGTCCTATCTCTCGATTGTTGAAAATGACTCCAGAAAGATCGTAGACAACACCATGTGAATCTGCAGCAGCCTGTTGGAGTGGCATCAGGCACCTTGAAATCCGCCACAGGTTTTCAAATTCTTCATCAGGGTTGAAGGTGATCATGAAAAATACAGGCAGTTGCGCACAGATGGATTTTGACTCCCCAGAGCCTCTACAACCCTTGATGTCATCCTTGTTGCACCAACACCTCTCTTCAGGCTTCATGGGTGCATTGACCTGTATGAAATCTCATAACCACCAATCCATGTTGCCTTCAAATGTCTTTGAAAGAGCACTGCTGAGCTCATAGTAGCACAATCTAGTGGGATTGCCCATAATTTGCCAGTGTGGTGAGATAATCTCAACACTGGAGGCTGGCTGACCAGTGCAGTATTGTAACTTGATGGTTTACCGTTCAAAATATGACCCTGCAAATGTATCTGTGCCTTCTTGATCATTATCTTGCCAAACTAGGACACTGCCAAGCCAACCCTATAGTATAACACCAAGGAATGTGTTCAGTTCAAGCTGTAAGCCTTTACAGATACACTGACTCACATCAATTGAACCTGGAGCGGAAATAGACTTGATGGCACCAACATCCCTAAGGGTCTCATGAAACTCATCTCTTTGAAACAACTTGTATAAGTGCCAGAGGAGGATGCATGATGCATACCATGGAATCGGGGTGCAAATTCTGTGTGAAAGTTGGGTAGAACAGCGAGAAACATAAGCTCCAATGAAGAGTCGAGCTAACATGAGTATCACTGGGGTGTTTCACCAGCTCGTGTGATGTATCTGGAGGTCGGCTATCATTCTTCTTCTGTTTCATTTGTGCAGCAAGTACTCAACTGGGTTTTGTAGTACCTAGATTGAATTTTGTCTTCTTTCAATGTTGAGCTTGCCCATAGTGTGTCTTGACACCAGCTAAGATTGCTAAATCACTTACACATATAGTCTGAGAAGATGTGTACTGACCAAGTCATGCAGCAGTTAATTTCTCATAGCTGAGTGCAAATGCAAAGAGAAACACTAAGCCATCCAGAAGCCAATGATTTAAGGCAGAAACAGCATCTTGGCATGTTGGTCTCACATTCACCACTGTAACCATTTCTTGATTAAAGGGAAATCATTGAGTAAGGCCTGTGCAATATGCCTAAACTCGTCCAATGTGATAGCATCAAGCAAAACAACAGACAAGCCACAATCAAAAGGTAAGTAATAACTCGACCTAGGAATGTCCTAGGGAGGTCAGGAAGTCATGTAAATAGTACATAAAGTGCCAGCAATAATACCATGAGTATGAAGGCACAATAAGACACATAGAAGACATAGAAATGCGTACTATAGAGGTGAATGATTATATAACTAACAGCTGTAGCTCAGCTTGGGCTCAATGATGGCTTTCAAGAACAAAACAATCTAAAATGCAATCTAAGTATATTTGTAATGGTGAGCTACTAAAAGAACTGAGACTATATGGTTGTAGGGCCCTAAGATTATCTAGCACAAAGAACTTGGTCAGAACATCATTTTTGTGGATTGGCCCTTGGTGCTGCAACAGATATAAGCACCATGATGACTATAGTGAGATATTTGTGGGATAATAGGACTCAAATGGCTGATCTCAGCATCTTCTTGAGTTGACACTGACATACTATAGGTAAATGCCAGCAGGCATACACACAGAGGGGACATTTATATTATCTGTGCTGATGATGTTTGACATGATATACGTCTAATTATACAAAGCACTAAGAATGATGGCCAACTTGAGAATGTTAGCAGGACATCTGTACATGCTAATGAAATGAGCAATGTCAAGGTCAGTATCTACCAATAATGAGTGACTGGAGGTACAAAATTGAAGCCAGATTTTGCTTACCTGAAGATGTGATGAGTGCATTAGGATCCAGAGTATCATCACTGCAGGGTTGCCGAGTATATATCATGTATGTTAATTGTAGGTTGGCATGAACATCACAGTTGTGTTTGCCAGGGAGATGCATAGTATAGTAAATCAAATAACAGGTGTCACACTGATCAACACACCGCACCCACATGTCCTGGGCAGTCTGTGTTACACACTATAAATTTTCCAAATATTTTAATTACAAATTTAGATGCCTTTTTGCTTGCAAATAGTTTCAACTTTAAGATCACATGCTATCACACTGGCAATGCAAAGTCTAAATTCTGGCACCTATAAAACCTCACTGTCAATACCAAAAATACAAAATCTAAATCTGGGACAAACAGGTTCAAGCATGATCATGTGAGATCTTGAGGGAGATGCTCCAAGTCTGAATCTGAAGTTGAGAGTCAATCCTGGCACCTACAAAATCTCACCATAAACACTTCCTTATATCAACACTACTATGTTTGAACAACATACAAGAATTTTGGATGTCTCTTGCAGTTGAGCTGACAGCCTAGGCCCATGATACGCATCCCCAAGGATATGTTTGAGCAATGTGAGCATCCAACAATAGATGGGGCCATTGTCTGCTTAGATAGATGATCTATAGATAAACCCAAATATCTCCACAGTCAGTGATTCAGACAAATACCAATGACTGATAACATGGTTGTTCATGGGTGGGTGGCTTGTCGTTGCTCCTAAGATACAGTCAGCAATGTATAGCTCTACACATAAGTCAGTAGTCAACAATCAACAGTCAACAGTCAATCCAACAGAATGGATATGAAACACAGTGACAACAAAAACAGAACTCAATTAGTCAGTGACCAACAACAACAACAACACAACAGCATGATATCAAGAGACACAGTTACTCTAACAATATAGAGATGACACAAAGAAACAGACACTCCTCCCTAACACTTCACACAGCAATAATGATTCATACATAAACTAGTGCAGCAAGTTATGTGGAGTTACAATGAAAATCCCCCTCAAAAACAAAACAGGTGCGACTACTGTCAGACCTAGTCAGAGCTACCATAGCACTCTTAGCCTAATATTGAACCTGCTGCCAAGGAACTCACAATGAGTGTTCAGACAGACTTGGAAACGGGCGACCTTGGACTTCAATACCAAGTCCGCTCTTCAATAGCAAAAGCCTGACTTACAAATGACTGACCACTTTGGCCCAGTATAACACACAGATGTATGAGGTCAGTGATTCACTGTCAACACCTAAAATCTCACCACAAGACTATCCTAAGTCTTTGGTGGACAAAAGAGACAACACCAAACTTCTGGGTAAGAATGAGACTGAAACTTTGGCACTTGGGAGAAAGTTGATAGGAAGGAACAACAACAAAACCAGACTGCTACAACAATAACATCATGTTAAGATGAGATTGAAGTGGGCCGCTTCTAGAGGCTACTGAGAGACCAGAAGGGATCAGACTAGAGTCCAGAGTAAGTTGCCAAAGAGGCAGGGAGCACTGGACTCAGGGATATGGGCGATGTATGGTAAACAAATGTAAACAGACAAGCCATAATCAAAAGGTAAGTAATAGCTTGACCTAGGGACATCCTAGGGAGACCAGGAAGTCATGTAAATAGTAAGTAAAGTGCCAGCAATAATATCATGAGTTGAAGGCACAATAAGACACATAGAAGACATAGAAATGCATACTGTAGAGGTGAATAATCATATAACTAACAAAATTTCCCATACAAGACTGTCAATCTTTTGGCCAGCAGCTGTCTGCTGCTGGTCTTATCTTCGTGCAGCTCTCAGTAAAAGCAGGGAGTGCAGATCTGTGCACTCAAAAGATATACAATCTCGATGCCACTGGCTTTACAGTTTTGGTGGTTGCTTGCTGCACTTGTATTGGACGAACAATACACTACTGGATGTCTGCCTTCTGTCCCATGTCATTAGAGTAGACATGAGGCAAGTTTGTGTTTTGTGTTTTTATTCCATCAACAGTCAACTCGGGCTGCAACTGTTAGTTATATGATTATTCATCTCTACAGTACACATTTCTATGTCTTCTATGTGTCTTATTGTGCCTTCATACTCATCATATTATTCCTGGCACTTTACTTACTATTTACATGACTTCCTGACCTTCCTAGGATGTCCTCAGGTCGAGTTATTACATTTGTGGGGCACTCACCCCATCACTTCCTATTTTTTTCAGAATATATATCTATTAAGATGATCATTGCCTTGGCTTGCAAGAAGCCACCGCACTGCAAATGCATGGACAGTTCCATAGCTTGTGAGTATTGAGCTTCATCAAAGTGATGGAGGCAGAAAAATGATGCTAGATAAAGAAGATAAAGCATCATCTGCATCAGGAATCCACCATAGTCTTCTGGATGCTCAGCCTTCCTCTTCCTAATTGAACACCCACAGTGCCTTCAAGGTGGGCTCATCTATAGCATGGGCAATGGTCACAGTGAACCTGGAAGTTAAAATCACTGTGAATTTCAGGTGGGGCAAAAGGTAGCATGTGCAATTATTCCTACCTTGTTTTTCTTTCATTTCTTTACCTATATGATTCATTGACATCCCAGAGGCTTCATAAAATGTACCTACAAGATATGATATGATATGGCTCCACAGATAATTCTGGCCTATTCTGTTGGTTTCTTTGATGTTATTGGATGCTAGAATGTTCTGCTCCTCCTGGCTCCACTTGGCTCCACAAATGCTCCACACATGCTCCACAATGAGGTCATTTATGATGCAATTCTGATGATGTCATTCCTCTTTTCAATTTTGGTTCTTAGTACTATAGTTTCTCTCATCGCATGTATAAAAGAAGAGCCAATCTCCACCCAAAAATACAAGAATATCTTTTTCTTTCAAATATCTGAGAGAAATCCCCCTCACATTGTTCCACTTTCTCTAACATTGACACTCTTTGTGTTAGCCAAAAAATGCAGACCTAGACTTGCTCTAAGATCATTTTACTCTTTTCTTGACTATACCTATCTGTGCCTTTGTTGGACTATCTGCATACATATTTTCAAGTTGTATAACTTGTAGTTGTATGCATCCATTATACTATTGTGGTTGTATAACACATGGTTGGTCTTATTATTTTGGATACATCCTTTGTTACTTTACTTCAAAGGAGTCCAAACCAGCATTTTTTTTTGTATCCATTTTTGTCCATTGAGAGTAGGGAACTCTATGTAAGACAGTACTATCTAGTCTAGAGGCCCTGTGCCCCTCTGTACTTCAGGGTTCGCAAATGCCCTGGTGTGAGGCATACCCCCACCAGTCTGCCATTCCTGCCAGCCGTTGTAGACTGCAGCCTTTGGAAAGTGAAGTGACTATTGTGTGCTTGTGTATTGTAAGATATATGGTAACAGAGTTGGTTCTATAACTATTCAAGGGGGTGTGATGAATCTATGTGGGTAGGAGGAATTTAGTTTGCGAAGCATTTTCTCCAACCATGTGGCTCGCATTGTCTCTGAAAAGTTTGAAAAAATCACTGCCTGTGCCTTGTCTCTCGCAAAGTAGTCCGCAATTTCAAGAGTGTCGTCAAGTGTAAGGTTTGTATGTTCAGATAATAAGACAATAGCACGACCAAGAGCCCCATCCTGAGATGATGAGGATGAAGCAGAAGCTTGAGGAAACATGGTGAGGAATGTCTTGATATAGCCAATAAGCTCCTTCTGTTACAAGTAACATCGGCTACATGGCCCCCCTATCATTTTTCCCCTTCGTCCTCGCCCTCGTATGCCTCCGGCTCGTACTTCTCTACCGACTATCCGTTGACCGGATCCTTGGGACCGTTCCCGTCCCTCATCCCCCTCCTATCGCACCAACGTGTGCACGTGCCTTCGGGCTATGACTCGTTCTGACTCGTGCCACCAATGTGGCTTTCCTTATCTTGTCTTATCTTTCCTTTGACTGGTGCATGCTGCACATTGTATCATTTACCGTTGGCTCGTTCCAACGTTTCTCGGTCTCATTCCGCATTCGACCTTACATCACTAATCAGGCTCTGCTACCAGTGTACCTATACCCTTTCTGTTTCCCCTTTGCCCTTACCTACAGTACGGTAGCCTTGCCCTTAACCCTTTCCACTTAGTATAAGTAGTCGGTCACTTTGTACTAGATTCCCTAACTTGAATCTACTCAATCTTCCCTCGAACATACTTCCCTCTGAAGCCCCCTCAGCTTCAGTCTCTAGTATCTTTTCTTAGGTGCTCATCACGCCTAAGTCTACCTCGATCGACTACTCATCGTTCGGACAAGACTGTCCTTACTTTGAGAACGTCAGTGACTTTGAAGACATCTGTCTTAGAAGTCACGTGACACGCGCGTCTCTGATATCTGCCGACTCGTCGTCGCCAAGTCTCAGTTGCTACACCGGACCCTTCCGGTTATGTCACGAACGTTAGCGGACGACGCCCCTCTTAGGGCTCCACATAACAGATCTATTTGAGTGCATAACACCTTCATTGTATCAGACCCATCCTTCTGTGCCTGAGCATTTACAGACAGCGGCCGAGTACATTTTCGAGAACCTTCTCTCAGCTGACTAATCCCAATGAATTGTCCACTGTAGCTTTGCACACATACTGACATATCATCTAGATGGACAATGTCACGAAGGCGGATTACTTCTGAGAATAGATGTGGAGATGACTGGCTATCCAATGATGCTGAAAAAGCTGGGTACCAGGGTAAGGAGTGGCAGTGATTCATGCTTGAACGTCTAGGGGTGCAGTATTATGTATATCAAATTTATTGTAGGAGTTATTCATGGTAAGTTTAAGAATGAGCAGTATGAGTTAGCTCAGTCAAAGTAAATGTGATTGGTTTTGATGTCTATTGATTGGCCGTGGATATTGAGCCCAATCCTAGTAAGGAAATTTCCCTGACAGTGTTTAAGAATGACATGGCGCAATGAGCATATATTAAGGTGGTAATGAGAAGACATCCCTTGTAGAGTGGTGTTTAGGCAATTACATATTTTCAAGCTATGTCTGGCAAGGTCCTAACTTGTTCAGTGATACCTGAGATCCATCCGGAATGGGGCTGAACATATGTTGCTATCCATGATTCTGACTGAGCAAGGTTCCTGGGTATTCCTGGGTAGTGCAAGTAGCATGAATGAGAGGAAGTGTCATACTGCTAGCGGTGCTGAGTTGTGAAGATTGATTGATTGGAGATTCCGCTGTCAAAATGAAAGGTTTTATAGGTAGTCCTATTGGAATTAAGTTGCTGATGATTGAATTGAAAATTGGTATCAATGTAATCAGGTGTTGTGCTTGCATATTATGTATGAAATGATGATGTCATTAATAGTGTCATTGTGTCATTCCTGAATGTTTGAATGTTTTGGATGTCATTCAAATAGTATTTTTCAGGTCCAAAATTTTGCATTTCAACTTGACATAGAGTTTGCAGGTGCCACTATTACATTTTTGACAGTTTGACTTGGCAAATTTTGAATTGACCATGTCACTTTGACACTTCATATAAAGACCAGTAGAATTCAAGGGGTTGAATTGGTACCTATGTCATTTAAGATATTTGGACATAGCTTAAATGGCATCTCCTCCTTTGAGATATTCAGGTTCATTGAATTTGAGAGAATTCATTAAGACTTAATAGCTTTGTGACTTATAGGAGTTCCCACTATAAAGTCCCACACAAACACTATATGTCTTTGGCTCTAATAGCCCCTTCAAACATGTACAAACAATTGTAGGTAACTTTATCAAGAAACAAATCAAATCTTGAGCTTAGCACATCATACAGCAAATAACAACAAACAAACACGATTCACAGGGAACAATGAACTGATACTAAGTATGGGACGCATAACACATGAAACACTACTAATGTAAGTTCTGATAGGACAAGAACCTATAGTAACAAACAAGAAACAGGATCAAGGTAAACAATAGACAATACATTTGCAAACAACAAGTCCAAACAAGAAACATATTGATGCACTGACGGCCAAGACGAGGATGAACGATGTGCGTTATCTTGATAAGCAAATGCGAATGTTAGACTTTTATTAACTAACTCGCAATAGGGTTACTTGCCAAGAATTGGGAGCCCTGGACCATTGAATACTAATACACTCAAATACAAACAGACAGACAAGAAGACAAAAGGATTGCAAAAGGGTGATGTCTGCAGAAGGAACACCGCACGATTGACCCAAGTGGGCAGTGCTTTGTCATCTTCGATGAGAATGAGACACATGTCGGTCTCATTATAGTCTTTGGACTGTTCTGGAGTTAGAGTTGTGTGGACCGCTGTGAGAAGTTCAAGATGGAGGTGACGAAGGTTTCGCCCCTCATAGTATCGACTTTCAAGGCGACTCTGGCCTCGTACAACGGCACCTGGATAGTTAGGTTTGTTGTAATGGTAAATTGTCAGTGGGCGAGCAGCTAAGAACTTGGCCTGTTCCGGGCCAACTTTGCGTGAATTATGAGCATCAAGCTCAGAACAAATGAGTGCTGCTGTAAGATTCAGAGCATGAACAGAAGGGGGACAAAAGAGACCGTTGAATGGAAGGGCGATCTGATAGTCCCGGCCACAATGAACACCTCGAAAGGGTTCCAGAACGTTTACAGTGTATGTGGGAGGGTCAGCAACCATTGCATTAGATAGAGGCTCGAACGACAGATAGGCGATGATGTTGGGCATAGCTTTGTATCCTACCGTGATATGGTTGGCTGCAATAAGCATGTCGCCTAAAGGAAGCTGAGGGTCACAGTTAGGCAAACAATAATTGAAGGACATGTCATCCATAATTTTATCTTCTTGAGAGAAATATTCAGATGAGCTCGTTGAAGACCTCGTCCGAACTGTTGATGATGCGATCGGCGATGGACATGGGTAGGTTGGGATCCAGCAGCATGACGAATGGAGATGAGAGTTCTGATGAGGAACAGTCGGACATGGTTGGGGAAGATGGTGGGAAGCATTCGTACACCTCAACGTGCATGAAGAGCTGGGAGGTCCCAGGGACTCTGAGATTTAAGGGCGGCTGCTGCTCTGAGAATGGTGTAGAGGCACGAGTTGGCAGGACCAGTGCAAATGGTGCTCGGCCTGAGTCCGTTGGGATGCTAGGGTGAGTGTCTGAGAATGCTTGGGACTGGTCAGATGTGGGGAGAGAGAAGAGTCTAAATAGCATACTAAAAACAAGTCTATTAAAACTTGAAACATCTCCAGCCTCCATGTGCCCAGTTCGCCCAGTTGCAGGAATAAGGGTGACCTGCGCTGGAGAGGTAATCATGCGAGTTTGAGAAGGAACTTGCGGGACCGGGAACAGATCAGGAGTAGATGGTTGAGGTTGCTGCTGCTGCGGTGCTGCAGATGCTTGCAGAAGGAGGGAGTCTGTGCCAACCGGCTCAGTCTTGATGTTGACTAAAGTTCCCTCTCCTAGGGAGAGGGGAGAGATAGGCTGCCTTCCAATGTGTGGAGGAGATGGCAGAGGCATTGGAAGTCCAATGTCAGTGATTGGTGAACTGGGGGAGAACTTACTGTCCTCATGGTTGGCGGCAGTGAGAGCTGCATGGTGCTGCGCGATGGCCCTGCCTAAGTCTGGAAACTTGCACTCGAAAAAAGGAGGAGAGGTTGATGCTAATAGATCAGAGGGGGCAATGAACTTCTGGTATTCCTGGACAAAGGGTCCAGGGTGGTTGCACCGTCCAAAGGCAACCAAACAAGGTGACTTGATGTCACGTGCATCTTTGGGAAGAATTGGACTTCCAAAGGAAAAACAATGGCTGGGCGTATCACTTCCTGAGTGATACAAGAAGAATGTGTTTAGGGCATAGTGTAGCTGGAAGGAATGGGAGCTTTGAATTTTCTCCCCAAAGGTTCGGTACTGGAAGGCATTGAGTGCTATATAATCTGCCACATGATTTCCAAAATAGGAATGAGCTCCGTCAAATCGAGTGTTCTTGTGCAAAGTGCCAGACTCATAGGTAGATTGGAATTTGCATTGTTGAGCCTCTCGGCCCGCAAATTCCAAAATGCTGGTATCCAGTTGAAAAATTATAGTAGTGGCATGTTCCATACTAAGAATTGGTCGGTTTGGGCTGGTCTCTGACTCTGTTTTCTTGCTGGCTTTTATACTAAGTACTATGATAACAATACAAAACAAATCAATAACTAACATATTTATTTTTCTGTCTATGTACTGCAGGGTTGTACATAGAGTGAGAAAAATAAAAATTTGTATCAAGTACAAAATGTATTGAATGTGCTTCAATGGGCACGGTGGTAGTGGCCGCATTAGGGAAATATAGAAGCTTTCAATGTGGTTCGGTGTTTCCTGAAGGTTCAATTCCTGAGAAGAACAGCATGTGACTTCTTCGCATGATATAATCAGTAGCTCTAGGTTGGGCAGGTCCTTAGATACTGGATTGGGAAATGTTAGGTATGTACCGTCAGCTCATTCGACTAAGCCGACTCTATTTTCAGATTGCCAAGATCATCCCATTAATAGATCAAATGGTGTGTTCTCATTGAGTAGCATGGTTCCTATTGTTCTAATGCTTCCTATTTCAATTGGGACTTCCCGAACTATTCCTTGAAGTGTTCCGATTCTGCCATTTGCATCTTGATGACTGGTTTGGTGTTCCATATCTGCGGGTAACCCTAACCCTTGCTTGTATATAGAAGTATTTAAAAGATTTATCTCACTTCCAGTATCATAGATAGCTCTTATTTTGCGCCCATTGATTTCTGTGTCAATGTAAATTAATTCTCCACATGTTCTTGACTTCTGATTCTGAGAAAGAAAAGTCTCAGTGATTGTCCGGTCTTTTCCGGCTTTGGGTTTAATTAAGTCCATCAAACCTCTGGATAAATCTTTAGACATGGCTAATATCTCTCAAGCTGTCAGCTGAATTTGGCTATTTAAAATTCAATCTAATAATAGCTTTGGGTCCACTTTGGCTGCTAGATCGGATATTCTTGGTACATGTTTCGGCTCCTCCCGGCTTGGTGTGGGAACTAATACTTTGTGTGCTCACTGGTGTTGGACGTACCTCTTCACGTGCTCACTGCCTTGTCTCTGTCTCTTTGACTGATGTTGGCACGTAGGGCCGCACTGCCGTTGCCTTCTTTGGTAAGCCATTTCTCATATTCACTATGTCTGACAATTTCTTCACATCATTAGGATCAAATTCTCTTTGTGGGGGTGTGCCTGGACCAGGGCGTACTCTTATTGGTTCCTCAAACTTCGGCTGATTCTCACTGTGAGTCTGTCCGCTGCTAATTTTCTTGTCTGCTGGTATGCTGTCTTCTTCTCTCAGTTCCTCTGTCCGACTAGTCCCTAGATCCTGAGGGATAACTAGTGTGTTTGGTCCTGTTGCCCTCTGGGCACTCAAAGGTTTGTTCTCTTTGATTTTTTGTTCTTCAACACGCTGATGATGCTCTCTTTTCATTATTTCCCTAAGATTTTTCACTGACGGTGGATATATCCCATCAAATACGGCTCGACATTTTCCAGACTTGTCTCTCAGTGTTCGCTCGGCTGGGTAAGCCACATATTTGATTTTGCTATTGCTCATTTCTGACCCACTCATCACTGCAGGTATAAGATAGACTTTATGGTCTGACAAATCCAACTCGCTGTCTGTCACCAATTGTACAAAGTGTGTATTTGCTGTTTGTTGACTCGCACACTGTTTTTGTGCCATAACGAAGGTTTCGTCTCCCTCTCTACATATTTCTTGTCCTCCTGGTAGTGTTAGTCTTCCTGTAGTGTCTTTTTGTAGTAATCCTTTGTCCAATAACACATTTACTTCTGGACACCATGGAAGTCTATGATTGCTGCCTCCACATCCAAAACAAGTATATCTCGACAGTCCTAATTAAATATTGTTTGGATAGCTTGGAGTGAATGGTGCTTCTGCTCCTCTTGTTCTAGGAGCAGTGTTGACATATCTCTCACTCTTCTTTTGAGGCTTTGGGAGTACTTCTCCTATGGTAGAGTCCAACTTTAGTGCTTGAAAGTATAGCAGTGTATAATTTGGATCATCAATTGAAAGATTGCTTAAACGCTTCACCAAGTCCTCTATCTGATCTGGGTCCTTGGACTTGGATTTCTTTTTTCCTTTCTTTCCATGCGACCATTGTCGCTCTACTTCTTCTTCTGAGCTGCTGTCTGTATCCAAATCCTTGATTCTGGATTTCCTTGCCCAAAGTTTCTGCTTCTTCTTACTATAATATTCGCTTAAATCTTCATCATCTGAACTATCCACAAATTTCACCCTACACTTGGCTGATTTAGACCTTGTCTTAGTAAGCCTCTTGGATTTGGATTTATGTCTTGATTTATAATCATCTTCAAATTCAGAATCACTCTCACTGTCTGAAGAATCTGAAGAACTGGGTGTATCAGTTTCTCCTTCCAAAATTTCTGAGTCTGAATAGGCAAGATTTGTCTCAAATCAATCCCTTTGTAAACAAGCTTCAACAGCTGCTACAACGTCAGCTTGTGAATAAGGGATGGTGTGGTCACATAATGGGTCTCCAGCAATGAGTCTGCTTTCCACTCTGTTCCGCAGATCTCTATGTATACCCTTCCATAGATATGTAGCATGATAATTTGCAGTAATCTTGCTATGTGTTTTGAGCCATCCACCAATAATGGTGAACTTTTGTATGTAACACTTCCATTCTGATAGTGTTCTGATTGGTTTTTTATTCTGATAGAGGACAAATTTTACCAGATCTCTTGGTTTGTATTGCTTTGTGTCATGGTCTGCATCAAAGTTATTCAATAGATCTGCTTTGAGTTGTTTCCAGTTATGACTGTTGAAGCTTTCTAAAACCTCAATTAGGTCAGGAACATGAGTTGAACAATATTGGGTAAGATTCTCACACAGGTCCATTTGGGAGGTCACCTAAAATTGCTGACAAAGCTTCTCATATTGCTTAATAAATTTCTTGACTTGAGTATATTCACCCTTGAATTTAGGTGGTGCATGTTTTGTGCATGGATATGGGAGTATCAGTGGGCCTGGGGGAATTGTAGACCCTGAAGTGGTTGCAGTAGTAGTGGTCATGGTTGTTTATTGATGTTTATTGTGATATCTGATATGGGATAGAGTCTATAGCCAAATAGTTTTGATGAGTGGAAAACACCTTGTTGTAAATTCTGCAGTTCAATCCCTGCCAAGTGCTATTTATGAAACAGTCAGAGAGGTGTGCTTTTGAATGACAAACTTTCCCCCCCTCGCGGTGGGCTCCAATTATGTCTTACTAGGATGTGATTGGCAATAAAAATCATCACCAACGGTTGATAATGTGGTCGTTCATGGGAGGAGGTGTAAAAGTTGGATTTGTCAAAACAAGCAAATTCCTAATGACTTTAAAAGGGGTGAGATCAGGGTAAATTTCAGGAACAGTAACTGTTAACTGGCTTGATGCAGTGCTTAAATACTTGAAGGTTGTTGATCCGTTAACTGGCTTGATGCAGTACTTAGGACACAGATGATAAGGATTTATAGATGATGATGTAGCCAAATCGATAACTGGCTTGATGCAGTGCTACAATGCTACAAGAAGATGATTGCAAAGATATGCAAGGATAAGATAATAATAATGGATTGCAACAATATGCAATGAACCAGAGTATTATTTCGTAAACACTCCCCATTCTCAAAATCAGAGGAGATCAAACTAAGCCTCTAACACAATTGAATCAATCAAAATATGTGGCTTTGAAACTAACTTATCTGCTGCTCAGGTCCTGCACAATGAGTATGACACAGGTCAGAACAGAGTACACCCTCTTGGTGTAGTCTTAAAGCAGCCAAGCTTTTAATATTGTTGAGTAAAGTGCTAGTCTTATTTGTCTTTCTTCCTAATTGTTAAGAAATATGTAGATTCTCCCCACAGAAAAGATATCCTGTGTTGTAAAGAGAATGACGAAACTACAACTAGATGACTGATAATCATGTACCAGCTAGTGTAATTTAAGGATTAGCTCAAGGTAGGCCTCAGAAGATCAGTATATTGTGGGAAATGATGATAAATGAATGGAGGGAATAAACTAATTCACTCAGATATTCACTCAAATATAGGGTGAGAAACTTAAGAAGATATTCAAATCTTCCTTTCTTCTCAAAAGGGAATCTTTCAAGAAGAGGGCATCTATTATTCAGAGGGGAAACAGAATCCCTTATATACTACTCTAAATGTGGCTGTGTAACTATCTAAATAAGGAAATATGACTTATAGTGACTCCATTGTCAAGATGTTCTACGATGACTTGTTCACTTCTCACATATTCTCATCTATAAACTTTCTCCACTCAAATATCTGACTAATACAGAAAGTTGTGAGAAATGTGTGGTAAAATGTAAGAGATCATGAGAAATGCTGAATAATCTGTTGTGGTATGTTTTACCCAATCTTTGAACCAGAAAAGTATTAATATGAACTGTTAAATTGTAATGTAAAGTCCTTAGGTCTGAAAATTTAATCAAATAAAATATTAAGGTAGTGTAGAAAATTCATGATAATTTCATAGAGCAAAATAAGGAACTTCAAGGATGAAAAGTAGCCATGACCATGCACAAACCAGGTTTGGTGTGTGTCACCGCATAGAAGTCATTGTGTCACACCATGTCACCCTGCCATTTTAACTCCCCGACGAATGAAACCGGAGCATTTGACAAGCACTATTAACGATTCAAAAGGCTTTGTACAGCGTCGAGGCTTGTATTTATACTGTGCAAGTATGCTTATGGACTGTAAGGTATTAACTAGATAGGTATAATATATGAATATGCCGCAGGAAAGATTATAGAGAGGGTGACTAGTGTTGACTAGCGCCAGTTGAGTAAGAATGTGCACTTATCCTCAAGTTCTTGAGAAAACTTGGCGGGTTAGTTTCTCTTGGGCATGCAACCAGCGCTGCAAGACTGAAAGCTTAACTTCACAGATGAGTAAGTGCGTGTACAGGTGTTAGCCAAGTTGCCAAGCAGCACTTTGCAACTCCGAACACAAGCTCATTCCTCCTGTCACGCTTTGCATCTCGATAGTACAACATTTATGGCTCTCAACAGAACACAGTTTTCATGTCAGAAACAATTAGAGGAGTGTTAGAAGGCAATGTGAAGTCACTAGTAAAATTTCTGAATTTTTCAGTGCATGTGATGGCTTCCCTCTGATGGATTAGTGTGGAAAGTACATGTTCTGTATTTCGCTGCCACGAGTACTTCCAGCCTGTTTTAAAAAAAATACATACAGCAAGCTACGTACTAATTACCCTCTAGAATCATTGTGCTACATTGTGATTTGCAACTCTGGGCCAAAGATAGTATACAAAAGACTCTCTCTTTCAACAGAAAGTGAGACACATATCTAAGGATGACAAAGTTGAAACAGACTTTCATAGGTTGAAACACAACCTACTAAACTGACACAAACCTAATGAATTTATCCAAAACACAGAACATTCCACAACACTTTGTATAAGACTACACAAGAAGAGGACAACAAACTGAATCCTCCCAAGAACTCACCACATTACCTCCCACAAAGTAGAAAGTCAGAGACCGTGGACTTAAGGACTGGCAAGAAGTTCTCACCATGTATAATTGTGTTGTCATTATACACAACTTTTATATAAGACCCTTAAGTAACCAGACAGCTGTAGTGGAAAATATTTGACCATTTACACAAAGATGCAAAGCTTGCCTTCAATAATACAAAAATGTCCCTCTGCCGTTCATCTTAACCTCATTGGTATTGACATTCAGATACAAGTTGTACATTGAAAATATTCTAGCTAGGTAGATAAGAAATGTTAATCGCCCTTTCAATCCATAGACTTCTTTTTTAAATATTTCACCAAATGTTCCATTGCCCGCACCACTTGAAGTATATCGTTACTAAGGGTGGCCTCCATTCTTAACATGGACGCTGCAAGAAGCTTTGCCTCCACAACCTTATTTTCCATCATCTTGAGAATGGCATTTCCTTCATAGTCAATCTCTGCCTGAATGGCAGCCAATTGTTGGGCCACCAGAATCAACCTTGGCAGAACTAATGTTGCTGGTGTCACAAGTATGTATCCCTCCAGCTGGTCACATGTGAGATTATATTCAAGTCTGAGGTGTAAAAGAAAGGACTTACCAGTTGTGTAAAGTGATTGCCGATCATTTGGGTTAGCTGATTTCTAGATGGGAAGTTGGTGATAAAGTCCCATATGGCAAGACATCAAAAGTGGTGTTCCACCATGCATATGAATATGTTTTCATCATATGACCTTTCACCCAGGGTCCAGATGGCTCCACCAGCAGCTTCATGAATGAGGCATAAAGTTCCTGGTCATTAAGGAGCTCGGCCTAGCTCATGCCAAGCATGCTGATGACAAACCAGAGATTTTGTGAAAGTGAGGGACTGATGTTCATCCCATTGCACAAGGCTACCCAAGGCAGAATGAAAACTTTTGCTGGCGATTGGTTAGATTTCAGATGGAATCTATTGAAATTTGTACTCACATCACCCTCCCAAATAAGGTATCTTGTCACAATGTGACAAGCTTTTGCTGATTTTACAAGAGTGCTTTGCTCAGGAGTAGTCTAAATAGCGAGCAGTTGGGGAGCAGCAAACTCAAACATATTTGCCATATTGGCGAGACTGCAGAATTATTAATGTCAGCAAGAGCACCATAAGCTGTGAATGTAGACTTGGACATAATGAATTTCCTGTGAAATTAAATGACATCAGCCATGGGAGTTTATATCTCTGGTTCTCGTTGGAGCTTAAAATGACTTGTGTACTGTGAGCAAGCCATGAAACTTTTTTATTGTCTAGTTAATTTGAGTGGATGACTGAAAGCACAAAAGTTCCACAAATTGTTGCTGCAAAACATCGGCAACATCAGCACTGATAGACATTGTCCCTGAAGTAATCATTGGTGAACTCCACTATGATCGGTATTGCTTCATTCGAAACCCTTAATTCAGTGAGGTCCATACTTTCCCATTCAGATACATTTGATCCACTTTGAAACATGTTGTGGACTACGATTTTGTGATGCCAACAGTAAGCATCACAAATCTTGTGGACTCCTGTGGGTCAACTATTGTTCTGTCCCCACAGTGGCCATGCTTATGACATAATCTGCCACATCAGGTTTGTATTTAGGTTCACTTTTGTTCCTTGCCACTCATTGTACAACCAAGTCTACTCTGACATGTCTATCACTTCCATCGCTGCAACAGCCAATGCTACCTTCAGGCACTCAGCTGATCACATCAAACACCTTTTGGGTCAGGCACTACAATTGGATCCTGCTGATCCCACCAATGGCCAGTTGGCACTAGAAATAGCCAGCATTTTAGTAAGTAATCATTTGATCTTCATGAGCTTATCTGAATTTTTTTAGACAAACTTTTTTTTAGTGTATGCACTGCAGGTGAAGACATTCTCACCCAATTGTGCTCTCGGCAGCTGCTGAGTTGAGTGAGCACATCGATGCCTCCTCCCACACAGTGGTAAATACCTCAGTGTAGGCTAATATCCATGCCAGAGATTCCTACTGCAAGAGGAGTCCACTTTACCCTTGACCATTGGGTATGGAAAAGCCTCTATAGACCTGTCTCTGCTAGTGGCCAGTCCTTCACAACCCAACACCAGGAAGGATAAGGGAAAGCAAAAGGCCTTGCCAGAAGACAGCGATGAAGATTGAGGCCGACCGATGGAATGTGGTAAATGTCCCGCAACTCAGGCAATGAGTTCCAGTCGTCCACCAGCCATGAAGCACTACTGTGCTTCTTCAAAGGCAGTGTAGAGACTTGTGCATCTCAATGCTGAATATGTGGCCCTTTACCCACATAATACCCTATATGTTCCAGCTCTTATCCATAGGATCAGTCTCACACGTGTTCGTGCACCTCACCCTAGGTCTTTGTGCTCCTGTCCATCCGTCCATCCTACATCCTTGCTGATTTATTGGTGCATTATTCTTATTAATTTCATTGAATTGACATATCCTCGGTCCAATTTCCACACTTACATATAGAACACCTATCTTAGGCTTTAGAATATATTTAGTGTTGATATAGTTACTCAGTTCAGTACCGCGCTCGGATGCGCCACATAGCATAATTCTCGGATGCAATTCCCCTTCTTAAAAGGAGGAAGGGTTCTTGAGGACTAGTACTTACTTTCCCCCTTATCTCAGTATACTACAAAGTGTATAGTCCACCTAAGTGCTAGAAATTTGATTATACTTCTCTATCGACTATCACCTGCGCTTCTGCTATCCCTTGAAGACTCTTTCCCTTATCACCCAAAGTGTGCCTCTGTGTATGCACACCTTCACGTGTGTTATCTTCTTGCACCTGCTAGCGCCCATCTAGTTGACAGAGTTTCCCTCCATTTTATAGCGAGGAACTTCTCTCAGTAGCTGTCCTTTGAGTCAAGTTGTATTCTCATATCCAGGTCTTGCTGTAGAGTCCCCATTGGTTTTTAGTGTTTTCACCTATAGTCAAGATTCCTCACTTCCAGCAGTCATCACCAGTGATGATTACTGGGAGTTGGACACTGCACTGGCTCCAGTAAAAGCATTGGTAGATCCTCCATGTGGTCAAACCAAACCATCAATGCAACCTGACATGCTGCCACCCCATGTTGCTGCATGGTTCAAAACTGTATGCAAGGTAAGTAATATTTTTTGTTATTGAATTGGTGCCTCATTCATGGGAGTTAGGCGGGCACCCTTACAAAGTTGCCCTGCACCCAAAAAGTCAAAGCACTGCAGTCAGTCGGCCGCAAGGTTGGTGATATCCACCGATGATAAAAATGATGAGGTCTCAAATGTTGCACCTTCAAAGAGTATCAGGACACCATACATTCTGATTCCAGTATGTCTCCCAATTTACTTTACATACCAGCTGTTAGGAATGTGCTCAAGGGTCAAATCAGAAGGGCTTGGCTTCAGCTCATGCACTGCACCCCTTACCCAAGTACGTGTCCCTAACTTCCAAAGGCTAGCAGATGACATCTGGAGTCTGATGTCCAATGCACAGGAATTCCAGCGGACGTTCGGGAACAAGTGATAAGTCTAATCCAGACAATGTCCAAACTGGAAAGGAAATAGTGGAGGACTACCAGAGGTAGAGGTGGAGGTGAGAAGTCTATAGGAGTTGATTTTAAGACTATCAGAGGACAATGAGAGGAGAAATCAAGTCGGATGGAGGAGGGAATGAGCAGAGTCTAAGATAATATTTGAACTAAGGAAGTACAGAGAATCTACAGGGTTTATATACTACTGAGGATATAACGGAGAATCAGTTGGCACAGTGCGAGGCTATGTGAGGCTATGATGGAGCATGTGAAATGCCTAACACTAATCTATCGGAACTCAATTAAATGAAGACGGAAATGAAGAAGGGATGGACATTAAGTACAGCCAGTTATAGGTATAACTGGATGTCCGGAAACAGGGGCTAACTGAGAAGGGACATACAAAAGGGAAAAGATATGGAAGGTAGAAACTGGCCAGATCTGGATGTCCAGAAATGATTTGTATGATAGGTCCAGGTCAGGAATGCGGGATATGACACCAGCTGACACTATCTTATGTACTCTGCTAACATTGCCCCATTGCCATCGCAGATGCCTGCGGTTGCTGGCACTCTCGTTGAGGACGACCATGCAGACTTTGCATCTCTGGTGTGGAATGCACCGTGTGGTAACTGTGTGCAGTGCAGCCTAGTCTGTCGTCAGGGCTATAACAACTCCGGTGGAGAGCTGACCATTTGTGCCTGGTGCCATAGGTCAAAGCAAAAGTGCGGCAGCAAAGGGTCTGCCCTGGTGGGTAGACCAAAGAAGGCACTGCTGGCCCATGCCCACCACGCTAGATCACAATCTCACTGTTGTCGCTCGCCATCTGTTGCTTGCTCCTCAACATTCAGGTATGTATCTATTGTTTTTGTCATATTGAGATCTGATGTATTCGGATATCTTGATATCTTGCCTGTATCAGAAAACCCCGTTGTTCCAACACCTGCAGTTCCTGACATCCCCAACATTCCTGGCACCATACAGATCCTGCCTACATCAAGCACTGCCACTGATGATGTTCTGCGGCAAGAAGTTCAAGCACTTTGTAAGATGGTCACCAGATTGCAAGATCGGGTTGCTGCAGGTGAGAATGAACTGGCAGAGGCCAATCACAAATTGGTCCAGCAACAGGCCCACTTCGACTTCATTACAGAAGAATTGGCTGACCATCGTTGGCACATGCTTCTGCCGCCCATGGTGCCACCTGTGAGGCTGTGCCTGAGGTGTGTTTACCTATCATGATGAGGGGCCAACAGCTAGCTGAGCATGAGGCCGCAACTGAGAACCTCAATGGCAGTGCTGATAAAGGCCAACCTGCTGTTGAGCAAGGTGATGCCAGTGCTGAGCAGGGTGAATGCACCTCTACAGGGAGTGAGGCCAATGTTTGAACCAGCATTTGGAGAGTCAGCGGCATGCATCCCTGTGGCTCAGATATTTTTATGACTTTTTTTTTTTTGGTAGAACAATATTGCTAAGTGGCAGCTGACCAAGTCAGTCCCAGAGAGTACATTGAGGATACGGGGATTTCACCTGTGAGACAGAGAAGATAGTATTAAAATAGTTACCCAGAGGAAATGCATTTATGCACGCCAGTATATGCTGGCAGTGTGGGACTCCTCACCTCACAGATAGCTGAAGCTATCTGTTGCGCCCTGGGGGACGCCAAGGTAAGATACCCACTAAAACCCCTGCATGTTTGATCCAGTTGTCAGGAAGATCGTCTTCATCCAATAGGACTCCACTCCATGTCCGGAGTACTAGGGATTCCTTCAGTGCCCTTTTACCATACCTCACTGTGTTGGTGAGTATTTTGTCATATTTGAGTCTTTTGTTGATCGTTGATATCCATCTGTTGCAGATTTCGTTTTCGGAGTGAAATTTGTCCTCCTCGTTGTTGAATTTTATTACTCTTTCGCACCTCAGTTTCCATATCAAGTGTGCTGACTTGTAAGTTAGAATTGAGAAAAGTCTTGATTTGCCTTTTAATTTTTTCTTTCGTTGTAGAAACAACAATACTGAGAGGAACAAATGATGCTCCAAACTGTATTTATAATTGTTGAAGGTCGCACGTCACCTAGTCTGCGTTACTTGAGGAGACAAGTGCGTTCGACCCTAAAGGGGAAGTGAGTACAGCAAAGATCTAGAGGTATGCGCGGGAACGTGAAGCGCGAGAAAGCGCGCGCGTATTAGCGCGAAGCGTGGGAAAGTGCGCGCGCGTATGCAGAAAATGATAAAGACTAGACTTAAGTGATAATATGATACAAGGTAAGAGAATTTGAGAGCGCGAGATGTAAAAGAATAGGTTTCTACTATGTTCTGCTAAGTAGTAAGTAAGTAGTAATAGGTAAATGGGAGGTAAAGTAAGGTGAAAAGTAAGTTAAGGTGAAAAGTGAAGTAAGTAATAGTATGTACTGCTGGCGCTTATATAGGCGCCTAAGCGCTGTTATGCGGAGCCGAAGCGCTACCGAGTAGGTATGTAGATATATATATAAGTAAGGGTCCATGATAAAAATAAGGTGGAACAATATACAAATGAGAGAAACGGAAATATATGCACTAGAGAACATGGAGGACAGTGGATGGATGCATCTGGATGGCTGGCGCTATAGGGCGCTCAAGCGCGGGAATGCACGCGCGCGCATATACATCACGAAGCGCGGGAAGTGTGCGCGCATGGCGTGCGTTGCGAGGGAAAGCTGCGCCTCATATAGGAATAGCTGTGGGTAGCACACAGAGTGGTGCTACAAGTTCGTGCAATGTACTCCTTAGTGAAAGGTGCCATATCACACCATGAGAGGCATGATTCTCTACATCGTGTATCTACGAAGTTTGCTAGGTTGCATCCGAGAATTGTACCATATTGGATATTCGGCCAGTCAGCTTCTCTTAGGCGCTATAGTTTCTCTGCAAGTGTCCAGATCACTTTCCTTGCATGTGAGTCCTCGCAGTCTACTAGGATGTGTTCCATTGATTCGATTCCTCCGCATAGTTGGCAAGTACCTCTGTGTTCGAAGTTCAGAATGTTGTGCCAGAAGTCACCAAGGCAGTATGCTCCGTGGAGACTCTTCCACAGGAATCTGCGAATGTTTTTAGGTATGTCCTTGTCTCTTATTGATTTCCAGATTTGTGATTCCGTGGGGGTGTTTGTACTAATCTCTCTCACTGTGTGGTGAGTCATTGCTAGAGCCGCTCGTGTGCGTCATCTTTGTTTGTGTTCTTGTTTGAGCTCATGGATCCCTCTGTAGAATAGGTGTTGTGAGCCTTCCATCATCAGCAAGCCGGCAGCGTCAAATTCTTTCCTAACTTCAGTAGGGAAGTTGTATGTCTTTGGTTGTGTGGATCTTAGTTTTATTAGGTCTTCTGTTCCGTCAGTGTTGCATTTTTGTGCGTCACCTCCCCAGGCCCAGAGGATTGTCGCTGCGCTTCGTTCTCTGAGTTCTGCTAGGACTGCTTGGGACAGTTTGGCATCCGGCATTTGGATCCAGCCTAGTCTTTCCAATCTTGGTGCGTGTTTGGTTAGTAATTTGATAATATCTAATGATTTGATGGATAGTTTAAGGGTAATGTGTTTGGGAGCCGTTCTTGTGGCTTCCAATATCGCTGCCAGCTCTCCTGCTGCGGGTGATGCTAGGTTGCCCGGTATGTTGAAGGCTAGGTTCCTAGTATCGTTCTGACCATACCATACAGTGCCGACTGCTTTTATTTCGCCATTGTCATTGATGTGGTGGGAGCCTCCAATAGTGACTGATATTTTGTTTGTATCTAGGGTCTGGTGTTGAGTGTTTGTTTGGTTTGCAGGTGTTTCGCAGTGTGGGGAGTATCTGAATGCTCTGAAGCCATCTGCAATCAAAGACATTGTGGGTAGCGCAGGGTTGAAGAGTATGTTTTCTTTTTTCTTAAGTGCTTGGTGATTTTCTGTGATATGATGAGGTGATAAGTCTGGGGTGGTAGTTTTCTAGTGGGTGGCTTCCATGTTTGTAGGAATGTGTTGATTCTTGTGTTTGTGCAGACTGAGGGGGCTGGTCTTTCATTCTTAGCGATTAGGGCATCTGCAAAGAAGGTCCAGGGGGCGCACTCGTTGGGTGGTTTGAGGAGTCCTTTGAGCCACATTAGTTCAATCGTGTCGTTTCGGTGAGTGAGGTTTAGCATGTTTTTCCCGCCCTTCTCTATTGGGGCGCATAGAATGTTAGTGCTGATTTGTGCTTTTCCTTCGTTGTCCCAGGCGAATTCTCTCGCTCTCGTTAGGAGAGCTTTTTCAACATCTTTGGGCATACCTTGTGCCATGGTGAGGTATTGGGTCATTCCTCTGATAGTGCGTTGGATGATAATTTTTCTTCCTTCAATTGTTGGGTGGTTCTTCTCCCACCTCTTGAGGCTGGCGTCAATTTTCTCCAGAGTTGGTGCCCATATGGCGTTCTGGTTGGTGTTGTTTCCGACCCATGCGCTGAGGATCCTTATTGCAGACCTGTCTTGCACAATGTTGATGTTGTTAGGTATCGGGGTACTGTTTGTGTTGAGTGTCCTTGTTGATTGGAGTTTTTGGCGGAATTGTTTCCTATGGGTATGATTTCAGTTTTGGATGTGTTGAACTTCACTCCTGATGCCTCGCACCAGCGTGATAGGATGCTGTTGAGCAGCGCGAAGTCGTCTTCCTCCGTCAGGTAGACGGTTGTGTCGTCTGCGAACATGGTGACAACAATTTTGTATGCCATACCGGATGCTTGGTAGCCTTGTAGGTCTGATTTTCCTAACATTTCCACTAATGGTTCTATTGCCAGATTGAAAAGGAGGCATGACAGGGGGTCTCCCTGTCTGACACCATGTGTGACTTTGAATTTGCTGCTTAGTTCGCTGTTTATCATGATGGCCGTTTCAGCTTTGTTGTACAGGGATTTGACTGTGTTAATGAACTGGTTGGGGAAGTTGAAGCGCTCCAGTACTTTCCATAGGTATTGGTGAGTGATTTTGTCATATGCTTTCTCTTGGTCTAATGCTACTATAGCTCCCTCTTTCTCCTCAGCTTCGGCGAAGTTGATTATGAGTTGTGTTAGGCATATTTGGTCTGTGATGCTCCTTCCTGGTATGAAGCCAGCTTGATTCTTGTGAATGACTGCTGGTGCTATGCGGGCTAGTTTAATTGCTAGTGCCTTAGTGATGATTTTGTAGTCGCTATTTAGTAATGTATTGGGTGGTAATTTGCAATGTCTCTTCAGTCTTTCTTTTTATATAACGGGCATATCCACCCCTCTGAGAATTGAGTTCCAGAGGAGATGCCAAAGGTCTCAATGTTGTTGTATACTTTGGTAATGCATTCAGTTAGTTCAAATACATTGTTGTTCCCTTTGTTGTCTTCTTTTGGGAGTGATTTGGAGATGTCCTCTAACGGTTTCCAGAACTCATAAGGGAGACCGTCAATACCGGCTGCTTTGCCATTTGGCAGTAGTTTCAGGACTTCCTCTATATTACCTTTTGGTGAGTTTGTCTTCGAGGATATTTCTTTCTTCTGCTGGTAGTTGGGTGCTTATCGCATCGAGGACAGTGTCAGTTGCAGTGTTTCATTCCGAGTCTGGTGCCAGACCTTCATTTTGTAGAGCATCATGGTAGTCTCTCACAATTTGGGCCATCTTGTCTGACTGAGTCTTGTATACTGGGGTTTCTGCTGGTGAGTCTAGTGCTTTTAATTCGGCAATTGTGTCTCTGGGTTTGACATCTTTTCCAGATCTTGACCATAACTTGCTCACGGGTGATTCACGTTTAATTTTCATCTTGACGGCGAGGTTATCCCTTACATTTTCGTGGTATTTTCTTTCCAGGTTAGATATTTCTCTTGTAGTTCCAGGCCGACAAGTTGCTGCTCATCCTTAAGGAGGCTTTGATCGTTCAGGCATGACTTAAGGTGAGATTTTAATGTGTTGATACAGTTTTGGATTTTTGGGATGGATCTTTTCGCTGTATCCCTGCACAGTTGGATTGATCTGTCTTTGAAGGTTTTAAATATTGTTTGGGGGTTGTGAGATTCTGATTGGTTCATGCTGGACGCTGTTATGTCCTTCTGCATGGTGCGCTCCATACTAATTAGTTCGTCTTGGATGTGCTTATCCTTGAGTATAAAGAGTGGTAGGGTCCACCTTCCTTTCCCTACGAAGGGTTTCCGGATGTCGGATATCTTTGCTGATACCATCTGGTGGTCTGTGGCAATTCTGGAGGCTTCAATGTTCCACTCCTTGCTAAACAGCAGGAAGTCTTCACTTATATAGATTCGGTCGATTCTCGATTGTCTCCCACCCTGAAGACAGGATTGAGCAAAGGTAAAAGCTAGTGAGCCGGGGTTTTCCGCTCTCCATCCGTCTCTTAAGTCTAGGCTGAGTTTCAGGCACATCAAGGACTCTACTGCATTTTTGTTGTCTGGTTTGCATGGTAGCCTGTCTAGGGCGTTGTCATATCCCATATTCTGGACCTACATCCGACAATATTCCCACACCTCATCCGGACCTTCGGACACCCTATTCATGTCTCCAGTCCTCTACCCATCCGGATCCCTGCACCTCTGCACATCCACATCTGCACATCCAGATCCAGATCCCTTTACCTCCATACATCAGACCTCCATATCTCCGCAGCTAGCCTGCATCATTCATTCTTTGTCCTATTGCCCTAATGTCATATCCCACATTCCGGACCTACATCCAACGATGTTCCCACGCCTCATCCGGACCTCCTGTCCATGTCTCCGGACCAAATCCTCTATCCGTCCAGATCCCTGTACTCCTGCATCTGATATCCGGACGCCAGATCTGATATCCACATCTCCGGATCTGACCTATGCTTCATATCCGAACCCTAACCTTAAATCAGCGCTCATCCCCTTATGGTAATCACCTGTCTCCGGACTTCTGAACATCCGGATCCAACCCGCATCTATCTTCCATGCCTTTTCCCTTTGTAGGTTCCTTCTCCAGTTAGACTATACTCATTTTCCATACCTCATTTCATTTCCGGCTTTATTTTCCTATGTTCTCATCTCCGTCTTCATTTACTATTTTCTACATGCTCCGTCCACAGCCTCACATAGCTTTGGACCGCACTGACTGATTCTCCGTTAAGTCCTCAGTAGTATATAAGCCCCTGTAGATACTCCTGTATTTCCTTAGTCTGATTATCACACTAAGTCCTCGTATCAAGTCCTAGTCCTCTGACTTAGTCAATATCCATCTCAGGCCTAGGGAGGAATTCCCTAGGCCAGAGCTCCGCTCCTCCGCTCCTCCACTCATCCAATCCTCCATTCCTCCGAGTTTCTGGAAGTTCCTCCAGAACTTTCCTGCAGTCCTCCGGACCTATTTTGCTTCGGACTTTGTCCTTGCAGCCTTTCCTCTGTTTGCTTCTACTCAGGACTTGTCCTGAGTAGCCATTACACATCTCTGTATCAGGACGAAACCCCATGGTAATTTCCAGAAGTTCCTCCAGAACTTTCCTGCACTCATCCGGAAGTCCTTTGGACTTCCTTGGACTTTCTCTGGACGTCATTCTGAAATTAAGAGCACATACTTGGGTAAGGGGCGCAGCGCATGAGCTGAAGCCAAGCCCCTTTGAATCAGTCCTACCCTTTGTGCATGGTCTTAACAGGCGCCCTCTACAATATTAAAGTTGCCTAGCACTACATCAGGTGTGGGCTTCCCTATCAGCTTGGAATGTATCTCCTCCCAGAACACTTGGTTTTGTGTTGGTTCGTTTGGGGTGTAGATCGCTAACACAGATAGTTTTGCGTTTTTCATCCAGGAAATTTGGATCAGGAGCGCCCTTCCGGGGACGAGTTCTTCTGATGTTGCTTCTTTGCTGTTAGTTGAGTACACATTTAATATGACTGCCACACCTTTTGCATTGGTGTTTTCTGGTTCTATGGACCAGATGACTGTTATTCTGCGACCAAAGGTCTCATTAATCTTTGATTCTTCCTCTTTCGATAGGTGGGTCTCTTGGATTTCCATGATTCCAATCTTTTTCTCTCGTATTATTTGGTTGATGTGATGCCACTTATCTACCCCATTGTGCCATCTCCCTCTCATGTTTAACAAGGCTATTTTGATGTTTGCTCTAATAGATTTCTTGCCTTCTCGGTGTTCCATTCTTGGTTGGGAGCCTGTTTGAGCTTGGTTTTGTCTTGGTCTGGGTTGGCGACCTAGTGGTGTGTGTCTCACTTGACCAGGTCTCATATATGTTGAGCCTCGTTTGTCAAGGTTAGGTGTGTCGTGCGCTTCAGCTGTTGCCTCAACACTTTCTGCATTGTTAGGTGGAGCAGTATGCTCAGTGGGCTGGGGGCTGTCTGCTGTAGGGGAGTCAGTATTCTGGTGCCCGTCACCGGTGCCCACACACCCTTCATCGGGGACATGGCTGATGGGCGAAGCATAGTCCCCTCGAGGTGGATGAGGTCTGGAGCCATTGCTGTTTGTATGTACTGTATTGTATGGGGGTTGTATAGTAGGGTTAGTGGTTGAATTTACTGTTTGGGCCTTCAACCAAGCATCCTGAGCAGCACAGACTATCCGCGTCTGTGAGGGGGGGACTATGTCATAGGGGGCACGTGACTTCATTGAGGACAATAGCCACTGCCGTCCATGACTTCAGCCTCTCGGCACGGCATGTCCCAGACCTAAACAGGTCGCCGTTGGTATGTATCTCTGTCCGAAGCTTTCCTATCGCGAACGTAGTATATTTGGGCTCCCATAGACAGTTACCTTGATTGTTTGACCTTGATGTAATATACTGATCAAGTACTCTTATTCCTCACACTAAGAGCAAGTCAAAGGTGTGATACATTGATCATCTATTTAGTTGTACATTGGAGGTGGTATATACATTGTTACTAGAGGTATTACTAGTATTGGCCTCTTCCCCGTTTCCCTCGGCCTCATCCTCTGCCGGCTGTACCTCGTCCTCCTCTGGAGGAGTTGCCTCTGGATTGGTTATTGTAGGTTCTGTTGTTGAGGGAAGCATTGGTGGTGTCTTCGGTAGCAGATGCCAGGCCAAACCATCCTTGGACTTTAGGAAGGGGGCATAGACCTTGTTGGGTGGTCATAGGATTTGCAGCCCATGCAGAGGAATTGCTTGTCTTCTGAATGGACTAAGCCGGTTCTGTAGTCTTTGGATGTGAATTGCAAGTTGCGGATGAGGTTAGGTCCACTCGAAATAGTCCTTGAGGGACATGTTTGGGAGGGAGTCAGCATACACGTTCCATACAGTGTGGGAAGTGGAGCGCGATATGGTGACGGTAAGGCTTGTAATGCGAATGGAGTTGATGACCCTAATGGCTGCTTCAGCATCAGGGGTAGGGATGTGGTTGTGTATGAAGAGAGAGATGTTGGGGTACATGTGAATAGTCTGCTTGACCAGGTTTGTGATTTCCATGTTGCTTTCCATGCAGTCAGGGAGTGTGAACGTGTTCAAGCGTGCAAATGTAGTTGGACAGCGGTTGATCGTAAGGTATGAAGAAACATGTGATCTCGGGTGAAGAGCATACACTGAGTCCTGTCAACCTTGCAATGGCTGATTGGGAGATACCAGAGATTAGGAAGTGGTAGGGGGGGAGGCGTTTGTACAGGTCTCCCTCAGCAGACGGTGTGCTCAGAAGGAGAGGTGTGGCAGCTGTTTCTCCGATGATTAGTGCAATGAGGTTACGCATCTTGATGCTGGTCATCTGCACATTGTCCTCATATTTGGCTCTGAAGGTCTGCACCCAGGCCTTGGGGCCTACCTTCTGGGGCCATCTCTCTCTCAGGGCGAGGCCTACATTCTCCAGACGGATTGTCCCAGTTGAGGGGATGGGAATCCTCCTGTGGGGGGTGCGGTGATCTTGAGGCTGTTATGCAAGGTGATGACACCGTTGACTGTGTTTTGTGGTTAGCGTGGCTTAGTTGGCGCGTATGATATGCTAACCTGTGTTGTTATCGTTTGGTACACCCGTTTGGAGGAAGTGCCATGGGTTGGCAGGGGGAGTGGGTTGAGCGATGGGTTGGGTAATGGCAGGGGGAGCTGCGTCAGCCTCCATGGCTTGTTTCTTGCTCGAGCCTTGTTCTTCGTCTTCAGATTCAGACATATCAGAGTGGTCGGGCTGTTGCCTGGCACATTTATTCTCATGGGAGTCCGTGATCATATGCTGTTTGGGGGTGGCGGCATTGGTCATGATGGCCTGGAGTGGGCATTGGCAGTAGAGGATATGTTGTGAGAGTCTTGCAAGGAGGAGTGAGGGCTTGGGTGATGTTTTGGGCCTTTTTATATGTGGGTTGATTCTGTGTTGCGTTTTCAACAAAGGGCGAGTTGAATAAAGCATGCTGATATGGCTTACTGGTCTATGAGGTAAAGGAGATAGTGCATGAGTGGTGTGTGCTGGCACTGTTTCCTTGTGGGGGTTTTGGGAGGAGTGGCATGTTTGCATGTCCCAGGTGGTGGGTATTCGTGGATGGGGGAGGTGTCCTCGACGGTTGACTCGGGACTTCACTCGTAGTTTAACATGTCATTGTTAGTGGGTTGGGGTTGCTTGAGGCGCTACTAATACGCTGTTTGGGTATGGTAAGTTCTTTTTAACAGGGTTTCGTGGTGGCGGGGTGGCCATAGTGTCAATGACGATGATGATGACGATGTTGAAGTAGGGCTCTCAAATAGTTGACATGCTTGGAGTTGTTGGTAAATGTATTCATGTATTGAAAACACTGAGTCTAGGGATGTAGACTCTAGCAGTCGGGTGACACCATGTATTGGTGCCACCCTTACCTGACATGGTGGTTCAGGTCCAAGAAGCCCCTGATATTTTTATGACTTGACTGCTGAGTTCATAGTTTGTACTATACTGGTTGCATTTGTAAGATGTTTGCATGGTAGAGTTATGTACATATTGTGGGTGACATTATGGTCAGCACTGGTGTTGGAGTTTGACTGTAACCAAGCCTAGTTAGGCTTGGCGATACACATGATCACCAAGCTTAATAAGGTTTATTGATTGGGAAGGCCAGGTGCCCACTGATTGTGCTGTTTGGTGGCATTGTCAAAATGCAAGGGACAGACGGACCCCCCTACCGGACAGGCGGGCCCGGCGGACGAGAATTCCGGTTTCTTGCCCAGTGTGGTAATATTAATTCTGGAATCTTCGCGGCGTTGGTATTTCCAGCTTAGGTAACCTTGGAATTGTATATCTACATTGGTTTTGGATTCAGCAAGCAGGTATATCTGACAATGACCACCTGGGCTCAGGCCATCCATCATCCCTGGTTTGATCCATCACCTCTGAAGCGTAAACTGTCTAATGCGGATGACGAGCGCCGTGCATCACCCTATCAGCGCTCATCGCCGAGCCCCACAAGCCGCGCCAAACGATGCAAGTTCAACACACTGGAGCATGGGTTTGCCCACCTGACGCTCGCGCCAGCGCCGGTCTACCCCAACTCAACGAACGGGCTGGTGATTACGCCCATTAATCCCACTGCTTCATCTTTCCAATCTACAACATTTGCACCTTCTAGTGTTGTCCTCCCCAGTTCTATCGAAGAACCGCCGCACGAAATCGAAGCTGTGGCGCCCGAGGTGAACATGGAGACTTTGGACGAGGGTGATTGTAAGCGTATTTTAGAGTTTTTGGCAGATATCAGAGTCCTGATTGTTCGTGCAGACATTGGCAAGACCAAGGCGGCTCCTCACTATTCAATATCGGCGCCTTTGCTTCGGCGCATACGAAAACACCAGACAACAACGCAGCCTATCATTCCCATCTCGTCGCCCAGTACGGGAGGGGGCGCTTTGGTGTTGTATCGGCCGTTGCGGCCACTTTCCCCTACTCGACAGGTCGATGAACAAGCCGAATCCGTAGAGGAAAATACAACGGCTGGTGCTGCGAGTTTTGAGCGTGATGATGATGCGATGGAGATAGAGTAGAACGACACGCCCACACATTTGTTTGCTTTGATACTTATTAATATCCTAAAACGACACATGAACTGTACGAAAAACAAGAACTGCTCATCTATGTAACAAACAAAGCAAACGAACAAAGAACTAGAGAGAAAGGTGAAAGCTTCTGAATCAACGGGCGTCGAGATTGCGGGTACCATAAGATAACATAGCGGTCCCAGAGGGACCCTCTTCAGTAGGATATAGACCTTCTGAGTAGTTAAGATGAGAGTGGTGGTGCCTGGCGTGGGCGTGAGGGTGCGGAACATGGTGCATTTGAGCGGGGGTATATGGTGGACGGAGGGTAACGGATGCAGATGAAGGGGCGGGTAGCTTTGGAGGATTTGCTGTCACAGTGGTGTTTGCCAAGTGATGCTGAGCAGAAAAGGGGGGCTGGGCATAGGGGTTTACGTGTAGGGCTGGGTCGTCGATGGTAGGAGGAGAGTTATTCTCCTCCTTGTCAACGAGAGGTTGGTCGTCTACGTCGTCATCTGCAATGTCACGAGCATTGGTGGCCTGATTCTTTTGAGCAGCGATTTCCTCTGCTGTGAGGAAGCGGCCACCGGGACCGCGGGGACGACGCATTGCGTGTTTGTGGCGACTTTCATGTAAATATGGCTAAAATAGGATAAAATTTTTGGTTGGATGAGACTAGATTGAACGGACCTTTCTTTGCCTTGATAGTCTGTGTACTTCGTCTAAACGAGCACGAGCGACACGACGCTTGAGAATGCGAAAATATTGTTTTGCATTTACATAGAGAGGTTCCTCATCTACTTGGTGATCATCTGTTGGAGTGTTTTGGTGTGAAGACTGGTCTTGTTCGATGTGATGATGTAGGAATAAGTCATCTGCAGGAGAGTTGCGATGAGTTGTGAGAGCGGGAGAAGAAGGACCTGGGGAAGGGTTTCGGGAATGATGATAAAAATGATGATTATAAATATCAGAAGATTGACGAGAAAAGGGAGATGAAGGATGAGGAGGATGACTAGCTGCGTAATGGTAAGCGGAATCGAGCAGCTGATCGACAGGATCGCCCATTGATTGGCTGCTGGCACAAGCGTTGACCTCAAACAAACTAATCCACAACTGGGTCACACCCCCACATGCTGTCACGTTCCTTTACGTAACACTCTTCTTTCAAACAACAATGGACACGAAACTGTGAAATTCATCATCAATTTCATTATATCAACTCACTAATATATATTATAGGAGAGCATTAAAAGTTCAAGAACTAAAAGAAATCCTTTCAAAGGCTTCTATACCTCCAGGAAATGCAAAAAAGCAGGACCTAATCAACAAAATTTTGGCAAACCCTCCTGCTATAGACGTCTTTCACACTCTTCATCCACCAAAGAACTCAAAACCAGTACCACCACCTGATCATGATGACCTCGTGCGCTTTCTTAGCATTAATTCATCATTCATATGCTAATTTTCACACAGCTTGCTCCTCCAGAAGAGTACGTCTCACTATACCCACGTGTCCGAACTCTGACCCTTTTTCATAGAGTCGACTGGACCGTTGAAGTGTCCATTCCAGTAGAACCTGCATCTCCCCCCAAGAAATCTGAACAGGTTGGCCTCATTTTTTAATAAACCGAGATTGTTATTCCTAACATTACTCAAGCCCCCTTCATCACCTGCACCAGCCGCCCCAGCTCCACCTACACTCGTACTCTCAGAAGAGGATAAGCGCAAAGCTCGTGCAGCTCGTTTTGGTACGACTTACGTTGAACCCATTCAGCAACAACCCAAAAAGGCTACTGGTGAGGTGAGTACCATCATATACCGACTTCTACTCTTTCATGACCATTTACCCTCTAGAATTTCGATAAACTCAAGGCTCGAGCAGAGCGCTTTGGGGCTGTCCCTTCCGCCACCAAAGTTAGGGGAAAGCGCACAGCACCTGTCGAGAACGTTGATCCTGAGGAGCAGGAGCGCAGGAGGAAACGTGCAGAACGCTTTGGTTTGCCACTATCCGTAAGTCCCGTATTCATGGTCGGCGCTGCATTCACTCATGAACTATTTCAGGGCAAGGCGTAAGTATTGTCGGGCTTGTCATTCTTGAACAGCTTTTATTTATTCTCACTGTTGTTGTTCGTGTATATAAGCGCATATCTTTTTTTGGAGTGTAGCATGTAGACGCCTAATGATGTATTTCCGTCCTCTCAGCTCGAATACTCATTGTGATTCTGCTGTACACATTGGAACTTGATTCGTATCATCAATGCATCAGTGATGGTAGTACATGCATAATCCAAGGCTAACAGTGCTCATACCCTATAGCTAGCATCTCAATCGACGCGACCGCCACGCTCCTGCATTTCACACCCATCGACCCCATTCACCATGTCCTACATGTCCTACATGTCCTACCCCCAGCGTTCTACCTGGCTTGAGTTTCTTGGCTTCCCCCCCGGCTACGGTCCTTGGACTTATCGTGCTATCCCAGAACCTTGGATCTCATCCGAGCTTGCACGTCTGGCTTCTGCACACGTCATCAACAGTAAAACATCCACGACGGGTTGTGTCTCCCTCCAGCCAAGCCCAGATCCAGACGACCGCTCCCAGGATCGCTTTGTCGTCCTGGACTGGGACGGATGGTTGTTTTCTGCTGTGTTTGACGGTTCGTGCAACCTAATCGGATTCAAAATCACTGTCTCTGATACTTGTGACAGGCCACGGAGGGGAAGAAGCCGTAGACTATGTCGTTCAGGAGCTTCCCTCATTAATCCACGCAGCTCTCGCCAAGGCTCTGGCCGATGCAGGCACCGCACCCCCTGCACCCTCGACCGTCTCCACCCTTCTGCAGTCTTCTATCCGAGCTGTTGATGACGCCCTAACCGACAGAGTCAAACACCTCTTCCCTGATGAAGCAACGCTCGCTGTCCTCACAGACGAACAAATCAAGTCCACAATTAACGGCCCCACAAACCCCAACAATCTTGCCATCTTGCGCTGCATGCGTGGTACAACTGCCCTCGTTTCGCTCGTGGACCCAAAGAAGGAGAACCTCTGGGTAGCCAGCCTAGGTGATTGTCAGGCTGGTATGTGCCATTTCCGCGACGCTTGAACGTACAAGGTTGATGTGATCCGCAGTGCTCGGAGCTAAAAACTCCAATGGTACATGGGATACGACGATCCTCAGTGTAAATCACAGTGGCAAGAACCCGGCCGAGGTCGCGCGTATCCGCAAAGAACATCCAAACGAATCTGAATGCATCAAGTTCGACAGAGTTCTCGGCGCCATCGCCGTCACACGAGGTGAATACTTTCCCCATGCCCATTTAAACACAACATATATATTTACACAACCAACCATCTAGCCATTGGAGACCACATCTTCAAACTCCCTGTGTCCTACACTAGACGAGTTTTCATGAACTGCGTCCCCGGCTTTTCCGTCTCTTCCAAACTTGAACATTTCCTCCCGCATAACAATCGCCGCCCTACCTGTCCGCCCTTGCGGACATTAAACATGTCGCTCTCCAGCCATCCACAGCTAACGCATCTCAATCATTCTTGATCTTGTGCTCAGATGGCCTCGTAGATCTATACGAACACACGAATGCACGGAGACCTACTTTGGAGGAGATTCTCACACAATGGGTCCATATACTCGGCGAGCGTATGGACAGTAGAGGTGCCAAGGTCAGCGACGGGGCGGACAAAGAGAATGCAGCACTAGTGCTACTAAGACACGCGCTAATGGCCGGAGGGGCGGATGACCCGGACCGTCTCGCGCAGATGCTCACAGTAGAGATACCCTGTCGGTGGATGGATGATACAACCGTACTTGTCCAGACCCTTTAATACACTCATGAACTGCATCTGTGATATCTATGGCAGTCGGCCCATAGGTGTAGCAATATGGTTCTGCACTGCACAAGGCTTCTCGCGGATAACTGCATGTCCTGCTGGCAACGAGGACTCCAAGAGAAACTAGCTCTATCATACCTAATCAAGGGACAATGAAAGAATGTTAGCACGGAAAATCTTAATGCCCTATCACCCTCGCAACCAGCCATCGACAGTGACACTTCCTCACCACCAAACCTTGACGATCGCGGGATTCCACGTCATCCAGCTCATCGTCGAAGAACTCTCTGCCTCAGGACATGCATTCTTTTCTCACAGCAGAGCTGCTTCGCCCCTTGTCCGTACCGAAAAGCGGGTTCAATGAAAAATTGCACCCAGAAAGTATGTTCGTACCCCCGGACAACGCCATATGGTATGTGATTCGTCACGATGTGCAAGGTTATTTGGTGATCGGTTCCGTGAACTGAAGTGTTGCTCTTTAGGGCACTACGTGAATGTTAGTTTTATAATTGCTCGACATGACCAAGATCCATTTCATATCTACTATGTAACTTGGGGCTACGACATGTAAAGCTGGCAGGCACGTCATGACGATCCAGATGCGTCTGGTGGGGGCGGTTCGCGAAGCGGGTTCTCTTGTCGTGCTTGGCTAAGCAGCCCACCCAAACCTTTCTCTGTGACAGCTTTCTACATTGGAAGAGATTAGCATCAGAATCATGATCAAATATATCGAACGAGCAGACGATCTAGTGAATTGAATTGGATGTTGCTCGAGAAATCATTCCCTGTGATGTAGAGAAAAGAGCTGCTACTTACTTGCACGCAATCTTTATATTCCGCCCAGATACTCCCACATTTGCGATCGTACTCTTCTTTCTTTTGCTTTGAGTACTCGATCCTTTGACTTTGTGAGTGTCCCTTGGTATTGGCGTTCGCAATAGCTGGTTCGAGGTAGCCCTCAAACCAGGTATTGAAGCAAGCATCATACTCGTGCTTCAATGGCGTGCATTCTGGAGATAACGAATGGGCCATTCCTGCAAATGAAAGGGGAGCGGGAGGCAGGAAGTGCTCACGAACAACCGTCACGGTACCGTCGGGTGTGCTTACTATTGGCTTACTACATACATAAAACGTCACTTAGTAATCGGCTGCGGCTGTGCTACCGATAATAATCTTTGCATATCATATGCTGACTTCACACATCGCCGACGGGGACGACACCTTTGAAAGTAGATATTCATGGATCTAGCAAACGAACAACCCTTATTCACTTGCCTGTCATGCTCGATAGCCTTTCTTTCCGCGGAGGAGCAGCGTATGTCCTGGCACTCCCTCCTGTCTAGATGAATTAATGCATGGGCACACAGGCACGCACTACCGCTCAGACCACCATAGGTACAATATGAAACGTCGCGTCGCATCCCTCCCACCAGTTAGCGTTGCCATATTCAATCAAAAGGTGCTCGAGCGCCGTCAGGAGACCGCGATCATGTCTTCACTGAAAGGTAGCACCTGTGAGGTGTGCGGGTACGTTCCTTCTGATTATAACAATCGCTTTCTTTTTCTTTCTTCTGCGTTTATATCATCTTCTCGATGTACTTTTTGTATCGAAGTTCTCTGACACACGAACAGGAAAACAGTACACAACAGAAAACTGCGTATAGATCCCACATAAATTCCAAGAAGCACAAAGAGAATGAGCTCAAGACTGTCTCGCAGGCCAAGTCAAGTAGTACCAGAGCCAGGCGAAGTTCCTAGCGCTCCTGTATATCCCCCGCCGTCATCCACGCTCCCCGTCATCTCCGAAACCCACATATCCAAAGACTCGACCTCTGGTGTACCCGCGACCGCTACCGAGGATGACATCAACGAAAGCATAGACGCTAAGATAGCTGCTGCCCGCTCACGTCTTTCTCCAGCACACTGCCTCTTTTGTCCGCATACTTCCTCCACGCTTTCAGACAATCTAACGCATATGTCTTCTTCGCATTCCTTTTTCGTCCCTGATGCCGACTATCTCGTCGATCTTCCTGGCCTCATCACATATCTTGGTGAGAAAATTGCTGTTGGAAATGTCTGCATCTATTGCAACGGTAAGGGACGTGAGCTTCGGACACTCGAGGCTGTGCGGAAACACATGCTAGATAAGGCTCATTGCAAGATCGCCTACGATTCCGAGGACGACCGACTTGAGGTGTCAGACTATTACGACTTCACAACTTCATATCCCGTTGACACACGGAAGAAGAAATCTAAACAGATACCCGCGGAGGACGAGGAGTGGGAGGATGCCGAGGACGACAGCGGAGATGCAGAAGAGGTCGTCGATGAGGCCGCTTCAGAGCCTCCTGATTCTGAATCAGATTCTAATGAAAGCATACCCGAGAACCAAATCACTTATGGTGATACCGAGTACGAGCTTGTTCTCCCATCAGGTGCACGCATCGGTCATCGGTCTATGAAGCGCTATTACGCACAATCCCTGCAGCCCACGCACGTCCAGAGTAATGAAGACCGCAACTCTGGGATTGCACTTGTCCGCAGATTGCTCGCAGATAAGAATTCTGCCCTCGTACCCCGCAAGGGTGGGTTTGGCGCACATGGGCAAGGAATGGAGACTGTGAAAGCGAGGAATCGTGGTGAAGCAAGAGAGGCAGGGAGGCACGTACGAGAGTTCAGAGATCAGAAACGCAGGGAAGATTTTAAGACACGAGTAGGTTTCATACACAACAGCCAAAGCATTTCCGGGACCCACTTCTGCAGGTGTGTTTTGTACTTGACAAACCTTCATTATCACTCACTCTCATCATCAGTAAAGACGCAGAGTTTCACTGTGCATGGCAAACTATGCATGATATTCCTTTGGCATTCCCCAAACCACTACCTCTTGTTATCTTGTCCCATGAAAGCGTCTCTAGAAACATAAAAAAATAATGCTATGATATCAATGAATTGAAAGAGCGACCGAAAGGTCGATCTCGGTTAAGTAGGGTATAATGATGTACGACTGATAGCAAGAAACAAGATACGAGAAGGAAACAAATCAATACAAATAGGCCGCGGGTACCACGCCCTCCTGGCCTGTTTGTGGATTTCGCGTATACCACCACCTGAGAAGATTATGAGCGCAGTGACCATAAAATTGAATGTGATATCTTACGCAGTATCCCGATCATCTAACACTTCTACCTCGAGTCCAGCCGTCAAAGGTAGTTCGCCCTCACCCGTCCCATCGAACGAGTAGCGAGCGTGTGCAGGACGAGCGAACTCCTCTTCGGCGGCCATTGTACCCACGACCGCGTCTGAGGGAGTTTCAGCTCGCAAGTAGTTGCTACCATCTGGTCCAAATGGATCAGGTTCTGCAGCGGTAGGATTTTCTTGCGGCTTCATCCTTCTCAGCGCCGATCACATTTAATGGGCTCGCAGCACCGAGAATCGTTGTTCGTGTGGCCGCGTTGATGTGTTCCAGTAATGATGATGGTCGGTGTTGAGCTGAATTATCGTCGTCGTCGTCATCGCTGGCATTATACTTCGCTACTCTATCATCGCGGCGAGACAGTAGGGTCCAGAGAATGCCGATGAGTGCCAACAGGAACACAACCCCAGCTGCAATGGCAATGGAGATGAGAATGACAATGCCAGTTGCGAGGAACTCTGCATGAGACCATGAGCTATGATTCGAGAAGACACAGAAGCTACTTACGTTGTTGGCCAAAGCTGAAGTTTGCGAGTGAATAGAACAGTGAAGAAATTGAGCCCAACGCTCCCTGAGCAGTGACAGTGGCCATGTAAGGAATAAACGAAGAGCCATCGAAGAGGACAGAGGACGCAGAACCGAACGAGGAGTCGGACAGCGCGCCAGAGATCATCAACATCCGGTCAGATTCAATGATGCTGTTAGCTGAGTGCGTGTCCAGTAGGGGAACCATGAGAAGCTGGGAAATGTTGGTGGTGCCCTGGAGCGAAGATCCAACACTATTCCAAGAAACACCATCCCAGAACATCATGAACGGTGAGGAACCATCAGCAGTGCTGAAGACCAAGATAAGTCAGATAATATGTCTATGAACAGTAACATCGCGTCACTCACCGACCAGCTGCAAAGATGCTTGAATAGTTGCCATTGTTAACCGTCACTGCCGTAACCGGTCCTGGAATTTCAGCGCTGTTCCCAATGGCGGCCCATGTGGAATCCGCAAAATTATACTGTGCGACATTGGTCGTCAATCCACCCTAATGTGATAGATCCAGCAGCAATCAGGATTTCTTGAGTATTCTACCGAAACCCAGTTAATAACATGTTACTAGGCCAAGAACATAGATACTTACTCCTGCATATGAGACAGACGAGATGTCTCCCTGAATACCGCTTCCGAGAGGGTTCCATTGATTCAAGGTGGTATCAAATAAACAGATAGCTTGGCAAGACACAGAACCAGCCTGCGCAAACGAACCGGCAACAATGACAGTGTCAGACTTATATATTGACGACGTTATCGAGCGAACGATGACCGAAGATCCTGCAGAGGATTGCAATGGTTGCATGGATGATGTATCCCACTGTTGAGTAGATAGATCATAAAGAGCCAATCCAGTCGCGGAGGTTCCAGTAAGATTGAATTCACCGCCAACGAAAAGCTGTTGCTGCTGATCAATATAGACAGTGCGAACGACGCCATTGATCTGAGCACCAGCGAGCGCAGAAATTGAAGACGTAACGGGATCATAGATAGCAACGGCGGATGAGGTCGTAGAAGAGGAAGAGAATGAAAAGTTGCCTCCAATTATGGCTACCTGGTGAGAAGTGGAAACATTTGTCCAGAATGCCCCAGCAAGGACAGCGGGAGCAGGAGCGGGCGGGGAAGGCGGCAGGGCGCTTGAAGTTGCGCTCTGGCGAGTGAATAGGGTTCCAATATTGAGGTGAGATATCCATGCAGATGGTCCACGACGGACGTGGGGATGACGCTTCGTTAAGGTGGCCGGAGAAGATACATTCGTAACGTTGCTAGTAAGCTGGATGCCCATAGGTGTCACCAGAGGGCCTGTGCTTCCACCACTGGACAATATCACAAGACCGCTGGAACCGTACTCTGCCATAGTATCCACATTACCCGCGACGAACTGGGTTTGTTTCTGACCCGAAGCAGGTAAAGTACCGTTGCCGATGAACGTCATGTTGCCCACTACAAATCCACCACTGTTCACCCACAAACCAGTGCTAACATTCCAGGTGGCTAAACCACCAGCGGGAACACCACTAGCCGACGAATTAAGGGCCTCGGTGAAATTGCCTACAACCACAATTTGCCCATTGGCAAGTGCAAGACTATTGACCACGCCATTGACTCCTGCACCCATGGCCTTCCATGAATTAGAGCTGATGTCGTAGATAGCAACGCCATTGAGTTTACCCTGCATGGAAGCTGTGTTGGTGTCTGTAAAAGAGCCACCGACGTAGAGCTCGTTGCCGCTCAACACGAAGGAGGTCACAGGCCCATTTAGACCATTATTAGGAAGGGAAATTAATGATCCACTCTTGGATGCAACGATGTTTGAGACACCGCTTGTCGAGCCGGAGATCAGCTGAAAATTGCCACCAAGGTAAACAATGCCAGAGGGGTGCTGTGCGACAGCTGTGACGGACACAGTGGTAGAAGTGGTAGCTCCCAGGGCGTTATAGAGATCAATGGATATCATGTCCAAAGAAGTCTCACTTGTGTTGGGAATAGTTCCGGTAGCATCAATGCTCGCACTCGGAGCTCAACGGCCACTCGAAGAAACCGAAACCATGCTGAAAACTGCTAGTCGCGTTGGACCCAGAGGACCCAGACCCGGCGGCAGATGTCACATCGGCCGATGTCAACACTAGTGCAACATTACCGGCGACGAGTTCGTACTGCCCATCCTGACCAGTCCCTGCAGGATTATTCGCAAGCGTCATGGATACAGTGGTCACGAAATCTGTGGATGAGGGGACGATGGGACCACTGTAGATAAGTGTGGTCGTATCGGACTGGACCTGCTGTGAAACAATAGAAACCCAGGGTTGGCTTCCGCCACCTGGGAAGACGGTGACTTGGACAGATGTACGGAGGGGACAATCCTGGAAGTCCGCACAACCCGGAATGACAAGATATACGTCATACTGGCCAGATGCAGAGACGTAAGGCTGCCAAGTAAAGCTGGGAGCCTGAGAAGGGGACGTGCCGACAGCCACTGTGGAGACTAGGACAGTCTGCAGTGTTGCGGGGATATTGGTGACAGCATCTTTCGTGGTCCACTGGCCTGTACTAGTGGTGTTGGATGGATTAGGTGAAAAGCAGGATTGCAGGTTTCCGTTGCTAGATGCGAACGCGCCAGAGGACAGCAGCTGCAACATATGCAAACCGGGAGCTTCACCTGTCCAACCCGACAGAGTTATTTGTATACCGGTCAATGTCACCGGAGCGGTGAAAATGAAGTCCTGGTATAAGATTGATGAGTCAGTCGACAAAGGACAGGTAGCTGTGCATGTTATGTTTTGTCCAGTTGATGGGTTGACATATGACAAAGTCTGTACGGTATTGTCTGGAATGGATGTCACACTGACGGATACAAAATGAGACATCACAGATCATCCATCATTGAAGGACACATACCTAAAAGTCGTCGTGCCAAATCCACTCTGGAACGTGTTGCCAAGGCGAACACCATAGGCATTGATAGAGGAGAAATCACGGATAGTAATTACAGCGTCATTTCCGTTCGCAGCCAACCACGTGTTGCCAGGTCCATCCGGACCAGCAGGACACAGTATATTCGAGATGTCGCTGAAGTCAGGGTCAGATGACGATGGTTGTCCCAATATTTCCGCGCCTTGAAGAGGAACAGGAACGAGTGACGAAGAAAACGGCGTAGCGCCAGGAGAATATGGAACATTGGGATTATTGGTGTTATTTAGTGCAATGGCATTCGCGGCGAAGGCAGTGAGGAATGAGCCGGCAAAGAGAAGGCTATTTTCTGAAGCGTTAGAGGTGATGGAAAGAACTTTTCCGCCGCCACCTGTGAAGCCTTTGAATGGGGGTGCGGACCAAGAATTGGACTTGGTGTCCCATATAGCTACAGATGAACCGGGCGACGTGAAGCTGCCACCCACCCATAACTGGCTGGTGGATACGTCACAATATAGCGAGTATATTGGACCGTTAGGACCGTTTGAACCGAGCGCAGCAAATACGCCAGAAGAAGGCGTGTATGATGCGATGTTGCTGGCGGACACGGATGTATTGCCAATAGATGAGAAGGATCCGGCCAAGTAGAAGATATTATTGATAGCGCAACCTGATTGAATTGAGCCGCCAGCATTCGTAGTGCCAAGCGTAGTTAAGGCGCCTTCGCCAGTGCGAGCAAGTAAAGAAGACGCAGAAGGGTCAAATGTTACAGCAGTAGAATTATTGAATAAACTGAGACCCGCAAATGCACCTGCAAGGCCTACTTGACCCATACGACTGAAATCGACCATTGGGAGTGATGCGAACGCGGGATTGGCGAGAAGAGCTGTGAGGAAGAATGTCGAGGACCATCGTATCGAACTTGATGACTGTGAATGCATTTTTATGTAGTCTCCACGGTAACGTTCCAGGGTATAGAGACCCTGATGGAACCTAGCGTCCTCTACAAGAAAGCCAGAGTTTAAGCGTCAGCCGAACGACGTTGAAAGGAAAGACGGTCACGGTTTTATTTAAGCTTTGAACCTTCCCATCAAAACGCGTTCTAATAAACCAACACGTCCACGTGGACCAGGTCATGGACCTATTAGGCGGTGCACCGCACTTTTGACTGGGCTGTATAATTGTCTTGACTGCCTCACGAAGTCCTCACACAGACCGTCAAATTATAAACTCGCAGCTTATTTCCGAGTCTGTGCACCCATCTCCGAACCGGAAGAATGTATCAGGAGATTTTTACATAGCAATCGAGGGGATCAATTAAACCCGAGCACTGCAGTGCCCACTTCTATTCTATTACTCCTCATCCGGATCTAACAGCAGCTGAACTCATGTCGGCAACGCGCCCGACTGGTTGTAGGTGAGGAGAGCCCGTATCTAGAATTCTGTTTGATCGTAATCCGGTACAACGTCAGTCATATCCTATGAGGCATGTCCAATCGAAGTCGCTCACTGAGGATATCTATAGCGGTGCACGTTTGGCCTCTTTGCATCGGCCTGCAAGATGGCATTGTCAGAAGCCTGTTGTGATAGCAATAAGTGCTTCTCGTTGATAGCTGCCCATATTTCACTCGGCGTCGTGTACTGAGCAAGCCACCGAGTCAGATATACGTCTTGGTTTGGCGACGGTGCCCATTTGTAAAATCCGACTGCAAGCAGAGAAAGCAGGACTGTGTTGCGCCAGAAAGGTGTAGAGAACCCAGCTGATTAGAATGCACAAATGAGTCATGACCTTGTTTATGGATGTGACCGGAATGGCATACCTTCGCGTGAATAATGGGTGTCATCATGGTGCTCATCATGAGCATGACTGTCGTGCGATGCGAATCTCCGCTGAATGAGTGAAACGCTCCCGACTGTGTGCTTTTGGCGCAAGAGCAGGCTCGCTCTTGCCAACGACATTGTGGTTATAGATAGAGTTGCTCGTGCCGCCTCGGCAATTTACTTGCGGACTTGGAAGTCCGGATCAGGTCGTTCACACTTCACAGTGCCGCATGTTGCGTGTTCCATGCTTCTGCAAGTATTTTCAGCTGCTATTCGACCAACGTAACCTTGGACAGCCCTATATATTTTACCAGAGTATGCAATTATTTGCCAACAGAAAATTAACTGAATTTGTTGTAGGACCCAAACCATGCTAAGACGTGTACTACCACGCTTGCCGCTTTTCCGGGTCTCTGCACCCATACTTCCAATATCGTCGCGGTTGAGTGCTCGCGCAGTACCTGCGATGTCCTTGACTGGCTCTCCACGTTTGTCGAGCCCGAGGCTGTTTCATCACGTCCCTGCCCGCCTTACGTCAACCATACCACCTCAAAACGATCCAGCATCACAGTTACCTCCAGGCGCTACCCTTTCTCAAAGGCTGAGGCACCTCATTAAATCCTATGGATGGTATGCCCTTGGAGTGTACATCGTCCTCTCCACATTGGACTTCACCATCGCGTTTGCTGGAATTAACCTGTTGGGCGCCGAGCAGGTCGCGTCTGCCGCCGCCTACATCAAAGAGACTGCTATCGGCTTCATCCATAGCAAGCCACCAGAGCCTGGGCGTGATGAAATGGACGGCATTTCTGTGGGAGATGCGAGCCGCGAGGGCTTGTATGCCACCTTGGTATTGGCTTATACCATCCATAAAACGCTATTTTTGCCCGTCAGAGTTGGTTTGACAGCCGTTTTTACTCCTCGATTGGTGGGCTGGCTGCGCACAAGAGGGTGGGCAGGTGGTGAGGGCGCCAGGAAAGCAGCACGCGACATGAGGGATAGGATTCAAAGAAAGGATTAAAATCAGTTGATCGGCGGATCTGGGTGAGAGGCAAATTGCAACGTCGTCGTTTTATTCACACTACTCATATCATAGTCACATATTACTTGCATGGCAATTACCTTCATTGCCATGATCCTAATTTCACACTAGAGGTTCGATTGGAGACATTGCATGCAACCCTCTTTTGAACTAAGGTGCTCATGAAGAAGTTAGTGCATGATGGCAGAAAGTGGAGAGCGACAGCACTTTGGGGTACACGCGGGGAAATTCAATTCGAACACGCTAGCGTATCATGTTTAAATTCAAATTGACCTCAACTACTCATATATTGGCAAAATTCGATAAGAAATTGGGTGAAAATCTGGGCATAAAAGTACTAGTAGCGGTGACTATAAGTGACGTGCACCACATAGCTGGCATCAGATAAGAAAAACGTAACGTAAGATCATAACTGACTCGATTGATTTAATGGAAAATGCCGAATACCGAATACTGAGCTTGACTTCAAAGCTTTAAAAGATTTTCTTTAGCTTACTTGTTCCCAATCCACTCCTGATGCAACTCGATAGCTTAAAGCACCCAAGATCCTGCAACCGTTTCTTCTCCCTTCCTGACATCGATGGCCGTTGGTGACTACTACCTCCCATACACATCGACGCCTTTTGAAGGCCCAGAGAAATTACTGGAAATCTGGTTCGCCCCTTCCCCTGCTCATGTGCCAGATGCACACGCACCAAAAAATGGCCGTATAGGCCTGAGGAATGTTCCAAAGCAAGTCTGGGAGGACATGCTTGACATCGTCAAATGCAAGGTCCTCAGTGTTATTGAGGGCAAAGAAACTGATGCTTATCTTTTGAGGTATGTGAATTGGTCATCACTCGTTTTTTTGTTTTCCGTATGGCTCGAAGCGCCCTTAATTTAATACTTTTTCACAGTTAAAGATCGTTATCGCTCATTTTTCTCCAATTTAGCGAATCATCTCTGTTTGTGTTCCCACATCGCATTATTCTGAAGACATGCGGCACAACACTAAACCTCCTCGGCCTTCCGCGCATCCTCGAGATCGCGCATAAATTTGCCTCACTTCCATCGGTTTATCGATGCTTCTACTCGCGTAAATCCTTTATGTTCCCTGAACGCCAACTCGGTCCGCATCGAGAGTGGAAGGACGAAGTGTCATTCCTTGACGCCATATTTCCAAATGGAGCTGCTTACACTGTAGGCAAAGTCAATGGAGACCATTGGCTGCTTTATTTAACCACGCCTGGACATTCTGGCGTGAATGGCGAGACCGCTCCAAGTTCTCCCATTTCCTTTTCGTCGTCCCCTCTTCAGTCTGAGAATGGGGAAGAGAATGAGACAAACCAGACTCATCAAAATATTGAAATCGACACACCGTTCACTCAGGATTACACAATCGAGATCCTCATGAGTAACCTGTCTCACAAGGCTCGCGAGTCCTTCTTCTTGGCTCCTCCAGTACAAGATACACCGTCGGAGTCTCCGTCGATCATCGGAAGGACTTTGTCCTCTACCATTGGGATTTCAGATCTTTTCCCGCCTCACCTCACTACACTGGATGCTTATGCGTTCGACCCTTGTGGTTACTCCTCGAACGCTCTCCTGAAATGGAGCGACGGGATTGAGGATGGCTGCGGTGGGGAGGGTTACTACACAATCCATGTGACCCCTGAGGAAGGCTGGTCATATGCAAGCTTCGAGTGCAACGTGCCACTATCCACTTCTCCGTCTTCTTCGGCCAAAGATATCCCCGATTTACATACGCTGATCAGACGCGTCGTCGACATCTTTCAGCCGGGTAGACTCAGCCTCACCCTTTTCATATCCAACGCCAACAACAACAATGCCGAGGAGGATGAGGATGAGACTGCTGTTGAAGCCGCTCAGCGGACTTTCAAGTCTGCTCTGACAGCTCAGCGCTCTGTATCATGTTCTTCTGGTGGTTCGGTAACGGGTGATGGGAGTGAACAAAAAGATCGCATGTTGTACAAGAGAACCGACAAGATCAATTATCAATTTGGTGGTTACAATCTTGCGTTCGCGAGTTTCGAGTTTCGATGAAGATATCGCTTCGGTGGTGTTAGGTTGTACGCTGAAGTTATCTAGATGCGCTCGTACTTTCCTGTCAATCTACATTTTGCTACCTTCTTCGTTTCTGTTGTACGACCCAGATTTCGGATTACCGTTCGTCCATCTTGTACACATGATGGTGTTGACCACCATCAGCTGGATTGTTATGAACTGTCAGGTGCACAATTCTGGGCAAATCTTCGATTCACAAGGTCAGGGCGTGTTCAGGGCATAAGCTTTGAAAATTGAAGGTTCCTGGTATCTGATAGATCTGACTCCTAATGCGCATTTGGTTATCGGCAACGTCCATAAACCGAAGCACCATCATGGGATATTGTTCATGGTCATGGGAGATCCAGGATAGATTTAGGGAACAAAACACCACGGTCGCTGGGCGCTGAGCGTTTCGCTGCACACTACCAGTATGTAAGTGTCAGAACAAAGTTCTTGGTTGCTTACATTTTAATCGCCAGAACCCGAGTGCAGTTTGGGAGGCCGTTCGTGGCATGAGAATTTTCATTTCCATCCGAGTGTACGAGAACCATCTCATATGTTTCACTGGGGGTACGCAATCAGTGTCCAGTATGGAAATGACGCATTATGCTAGAGAGGGTGACCGGCGTGGCCCTGGGCCAATGGCGTCTATGGATTTTGGACTAATCTGGCTATTCATGGATGGTATTAATACCGCGCTAGCAGCCATCGTGAGCTGAAGTCGGCGGGCCGAGGCTTATTGCCTCTTAGGTTTCCCGGTTCTGGATTACCTGCCGTTGAGTTCCTAATATTGTCTACCGAGGAGGACGTCGAGATATTCTCGTGACCAACTGTCTTCGGGGTTGAATCCATCGCCACATGCCTGATGCCCCGACCTCAGGAGTATCAGAAGCATCAATCTGCGTATAAATTCATCCAAAAAAAAATTAGCTTCAATGCCCCAAATTCCCGCTCTTGCTTAAGCGGCAGAACTCCACATCAGCGATGGTTTACAATATAGTCAACCTTCAAGCTGCCACGTCCACAGAAAATCTCCGGGCTCTTGAGGAAGTCAAGGATTTCTGTACGACAGATCTCGGACGGGGGGGCAAGGAACGATGGACATATCACATGCTGCCAGAGGCTGCACTTGATACCGAGCTGCATCGCATGTCCAATGCGACCTCATCGACATTTGTAGACAGCGTCACTTTTCAGCCATGCGCGGCTTACGCTGATCTCAATCAGGACCGGTACAGCATTGAGGAGTGGGAGCTCCCTGGCGGAGTTTGGCAATTCACGGCAATCTATGATGGTGCTCTAACTTCTTTACGAACGTCATACGTATCCCCTTGCAGAACTAACGGCTGGATTTTTGTAGGTCATTGCGGCCATGACACTGTAAATTATGTCCACAAGCGGCTTCCTTCGATAGTTAGGACGTCACTGCAAGTTCTTCTTCAGAGCGTACCTACCACATCCCTGAAGCCGGAATTTGTCTCGGAGGTTTTGTGCACCGCAGTCAGGCATCTGGACCAGTCTATTCGTTCTGACCTTTTGGACTTCTTGCCTCACGATCGCCTTACACAAATGAGCGACGCCCAACTCAACCAACACATCTTACATCGTTATTCTGAATGGAATACTATATCGACACGTTGCACCCAAGGCTCGACCGTACTTTTGGCTTTATCTGACCCACTAAAGAAAAATGTATGGATTCTCAATCTGGGAGATTCTATAGCGGGTAAAGTTCAGCCCTTATCATTTTATATCTCCTTCCTAACATTATCACAGTTCTTGGCAGTAGATCCTTCTCTGGGAAATGGACAGCAACGATCATCAATTCTGTACATAATTGTCACAATCGCTCAGAAAGTCAGCGCATACGGCGAGAGCATCCAGAGTCAGAGCAAGCCTGTGTGTATGACAACAGAGTGCTCGGATATCTGGCTCCGACCCGAGGTATTCCTTTAATTGACATATTTTACATGACATGTCCTAATCCTGGGATCTTGTACTAGCGTTGGGGGACACATGGCTCAAGGTTCCTTCGGTTTACACTCGCCGCGCTTTTGCGCCGCACTTGCAAGACTGGTTACCGCCACATCAGGTAGCACAGTATGCCAGTCGTATTCTCACTCCTCCATATATATCCGACCTCCCTGAGGTCTATCACCACTCCCTCGACGTCTCTCAACACGAACTACTCCTCATTCTGTCATCTGATGGCCTGCAGGATTTGTATGACAATAACGATATACAATTATCAGACCAAGAAATGGCAGACCGCTGGGTGGGTTTAGTAGGACGCCACATACACTCTGCCACAGACATGGATTTGCAAAGCAATTTAGCACTCAGGCTCCTGCGGGATGCTGTTGGCGGAGATAACACAGAGCTTGTCTCCCGAAATCTCACCTTGGAAATGGAAGATAAATGGATGGATGACATCACAATTCTAGTGCAGCGATTCCGGTAGAGATAGGTTTGGGATAGCGTACCCTGGCAGTATGTTACGGTACGTACGTATTTATTCTAGACCTACAGTAGAGATTTAATCATGCATTGTCCACGGTTTAAATTTCCAAAAATGCGATCCACTATGCCATGCTTGCTAGACAAGTATTGTGCAGTTTCTTAAAGATATACTTCCTAGATATCGTGATACACGCATGAATGTCGATCTTAGACATCATGTATCCATACGGATGACAATCATTGGCTGATCCGATCCGTGTCCTATGGGGGATAAGCAGGCTCGAGTTTTACACTGTGAGCCGACTTGCTCCGCAAGTTGCACAAGGGACACAGACGAATGAATATTTCGACCATCGGCCAGGTTATAGTAGCCTGTGGAGTATTGGATAAATCAATAGTTAAAACAAAAGAACCACATACCATTCCCATACGCCTTGTCTCAAAGAGCATCGAAGAAGATGAGCCATGAGCTCGATGAGCGTAGACAAGGATGTCGTAGATCTGGCTTTGTACGGGAATGCGTTCAAAAGCTCTCGTCCACTCAAAACCACCGAAATCGTGATCAACAGCATCGACTTTTGAAGAAGTTGTTCCGTGGTTGTCTATGTGACCAATATAATCTTTCCTCAATTCTTCTTCTTCTGCCGCCTCGAGGTGGAAAAAAGAGTCCCGTGGTATCAATAGAAGGTGATATTTCTCAGATCCTAGCCGTACATGATGAATTGTTAGCCACATGCGCAGCCGATCCGAAAGACCTTCCAAGCTGCCTTTTGACAACGCATGCGACGTGGCAGCGTAGATATTTGGTGCAAAAGCAGCAGTTTCACGAAGGTCCTGCGGCAAATCGTGGAGGAACCGTGCAAGAATATCCTCAAAGGACTCTCGACTCGGCATCTCGGCAGAATTGACGCTACCGATCCTGTGGGAAACCGCATCAGGCAAAGGCGCAAACGATGGATGCACCCAGGATTCGACGAGGGACTTCGTGACTACCGTCCCTTGGTCAGAAGGAAAGGAATGTGAAATGAACGAGATTGAGTTATCAGGTTGAGTGCGTGGAATATTGTTTTGAGGCCCTGAACTAGAGGCGGAGGGCCGTCCTTGACTGTGGTAGTCAGGAGTGAATCGACCAAAATGCGAATGGAGCGAAGGTTCACCCTCTTGAGAGCCACCCCTAGCATGTGATGTGGATGAATCTGATGCTCCACAGCTCCGTGATGATGATGATGCCACATTTTGTCCATAAAAGCTATGGCTGTCTCTAGACTCATTGGGATCATTGTGCGCGAAGGCGGTGTGCTCCTCTGGTGATGGCACGTCAGAGACGAGGAAAGATGCTGTCTTAGCACCGTATGGAGCCATCTGCCTATCCCGCGTCACACCATGATCGGATGGAACTTTATGCCTCTTCTTAGGAGTATAGTTGCACTCGGTAGCACTCTCCTCTTCCGCACAATGGTTGCAAACCGGCAAGTTACGGTCACACTTGTTCCAAAGGATAAATAAGATTCACATATTTAATTAATCAAAGCATAAACATACCTTCATATTTCTGAGACGACAACGATCACACCGCGGGATTCCTCGGTGAGCAGGTGTTGGTAAAGGAGTATATTCGCAATCCTTTCCGTTCGCATATGAACAATGATTGCAAGTTGGAAGAACCCTATCACACTACCCGACAGTTAGTAATTTTGGAGAGGTCAATAGCAAGCTGGGGCACACCTTTAAGTTATTTACCCGGCAGCGATCACACCGTGGCTTCCCTCTGCGTCCTTTCCACTGCGACTGACGGGCCATGAACATTTTAGGATTGGGAATCCGGATTGTCAGTTGTCCATCATCGTGCAAATCTTCGACAGAGTCTGTTGCATCGGGTGATTCAGACATGCTGTGTGATGATGCCTTACTAGCTACGAGCCCCAAAAAATATGGGGGAAAATTCTGGACGAAAAAAATTGTATCTTAGGAAGCAAGAGAAGCCGAAGGTTGGTGAAGTTGTGACTAAAAAACGACCAGATGAGGCGGGGACAGAAGAAGGAAAGAATGTACGTACAATAGACCCAAGAGGTGCAAGTGTTGCAGGAGCCTACAATATTCACAATGTTCCGTGTGAGTGGGTGGTAAAACTGAAAAATAGCGATGATTTTAAATCATTCAACACTTTGTGCGATCTGACTGAGTGGTAAGCTGTTTGCAGGTAGTTTTGTTCGAGTTTTGTGCAAAGAGCGATCCAGCCTTGACCGAAATCTGAACTTACTTACGGATGTGACACTACTGTCACGCTACTTTTTAGGTCAAGGTGGTTTGAAAATCAAACGGGCCAGCAAAAATTACTGATGAAGTTCTGGACATGGTTGGGGTCAGTCTTTTGTCTCTGCAATCGGTTTACATGGAATTTTATGACATAAAAGTGTATCAATCTGAAGTTACTACGGTGGCGGTAACCATGAGTATGGAGTTCGAGGTCCCTTGCAGATCAGTAGCTGAACGGCGGAGGCAACGCGGACTTTGTTGTTGTCCAGCGCCAGTTGAGCGCCAGTGGGTCATACAGCGGTGCACTGGCTACTTTCTTCTTCGACAATCTTGTCTCGTAGATGTTTTAGCTCAGCTTGGAAGGGCTCAAGTTATTCTGAGAACAGCGATAACAGATTTCCATATATGGAATCTGTAGTTGAAGTGGGACAAACAAAGTTCAAACGTTCATTCCTTGAAGCGCACTACTTCCTGGAATGTTCTTATTGTCACAGAGCGCTTTGTACGTGTTCACCCAGTCTCTTAATTATCTGGCTTGGTGTTGATGCTCTAGTTAATGAAGGATCTTCAAATTAACCGCATGATTGCCTCAACAGATGTTGACTTGGCAACATGTTGAATACTCAAGTTTTTCTTGCGCCATCATCCACATCTCAACGATTGCAAGTTATTAGAGAGATCTGTATTCATGGATTCTACATCCTATCAAATCCAGATTTAAAGTCTAAATGCCGTTCTTCAGCACAAGTGAGTGAACTTTAGCCCACAGTCTCCATCTCCTAGCGACTACCTGTCTCCTAGGATAATGGTTTCGAAGAATGCTGATGGCAGCGGTTCTGAACCTGCAAAAGTTCTTGTCAGGAGGTCACCCGTACCCAAACCGCGCTGACCATTCTGTTTAAAATTATACTACTGAACCCATAAACAGTGAGAGTAAAGGTTCTGTCGCACGACCGTATTCGCATCCGATGACCGGCCAGCTGCATACAATGAGACACACCGGAATGGTAGTTTACGATTGGGGGAGGGCTAGTGAGAGGGTAGGAAGGTTCGGACCCCAGGTCTCGGGCGTTTAGCATACCGAGACCCTACACCCACCTATCGAGGGACCTTTTCGGTCGTTTACGAACCGATTGCGAATATGGCGTCTCTGTGCAGAGACAACACTGGATCACTACAAGCTTCTTGGCTGTATCCTGCTGCATCAAATCCGCAGCCCAGCTGTCTGTCGGACCGAGGTTATCCTGGTGAGGTCACGATCATGTGATAGGCATTGAGACAAATACTTACTTATTTTGGATCTATTCAAATAAATGCACGTGTGTGCACAACTTGAAACCGTTCGTGTACGAATGAAACGTTGTATTGCGGGCGTTACAATAGCATATGATTGCAGTTTCAGAACCGGCTGCATTTGTCGCGCGTGTCATTCCCATTTTCGAGCCAGTGCGTATAATCTTGTAGGGTTCCGACAGCACCATGACTGCGTTTTGCAGATTCGGAACAGGTTGCATCTGCTGCACGCATGTCATTCCCACCTCCGAGCTAGTGCGTATAAAATCGATGAGGTGTATCATGCTAGGTTATATCCCCTTCCTCTTGATCCACACATAAGAATTGACGCTCTTAATCATTCATCAACAAGATGTATCTTATGAATGCTTTACGTGGTTTTGTGATGCCATATCTAGCATTGATCAATCTACTGTCGTCACCTACGATGGACCAGCAGGATGGTGTTGCTTATTATAGCCCGACTGACAGAGGCGGATCGATGCTCATCAACGCTGGCAATGGATACGGTGAACCTATCAATGTACTTTTCTTTTATCACCGTGACACCCTCGTCTACCCTGGCTGACCCCGGAAATTTAGGTCATAATTTCTGGTCTTAGCTCTCCTCACGTCCTCACACTTGACGGAGCTATCAATTTTGCCCGTGCTATCGGATTGTAAGCACGGAAAGAATTGCAAACCGCATCCTACTAATTTGCTCGTAATAGTTCTGAAGAATGTTTCGGCCTTCACTTGGGCGGTTATATGTCCGCCAACTTGGGAGATGGAAACGGATGGGTCAATCAAACCATTGAACTTCGCCAGGACTATGGAAACGCAGGAATCGGAACGTGTCTTGAGAGCCTTGTCGGAGGAAATCATTTTCGGTAAATTTATCGATTAGCCTGAGTGGTCTAGCGTGCTGATGATATCCGTTCAGTATATTTGTACAGAATGGTACAACGGCGGACAGTGGCGCTCTCTTCCTAGCGTAAGCATCCTCAAATTGCCTTACTAGTAGCTTACTTGATGTGCCAGCGTGTCTCGAGAGGAGGTGCGTAATTCGGCAGGGTTCTATTACACATCTGAACGCCACCCTTAGCCCATAACAGAGGACCACGATGTCGTGCCAGATGGGTACAATATTGGCCGGTAAGTAACTCTGTGATTGTAATGAACGGGTCACTAATCTAGTTTTAGCAATCAGCTGGTGTCGGTAGCGGTTGGTAAAACATGGTATAATGGGGTCAAATACCACACTGTCGCCCAAAACACTACTGGTCTCCTCAAAGCTGGCGCTGATGGTGTTAACCATGGTGAGTTTGATAAGTTCAATAGTTGTTCGTCTGACATTCAGGGCCACTGTCAGGCATTGCTCAAGATGGTATTGTTGCATTATTGACTGTCACAATTTATTAAGAATCGTATCACTTTTTCCTTTCCTTTGAAATTTCCCGATTCTTTGCTCGTCTCATTGTCAAGTGTGAACAAGTGAACATTCTAGAGTGCTACAAGTAGTTCAAATAGGTGGCATCGTGCGATGGGGTACATTGGTGCATGGAGTTGCATCAAACCAAAATTCTTGCATTGCAAACATGCAAGGATTGTGCTGGTGATTGAGTGATTGAGTTTTGGGCTGTCAATGCAGTCCATCAGCTTAAGTAGTGATGTGTGGGCTGGGCTCGGCCTGAAAGCCCTGGCTTGGGCTTGGCTTTGAGGGGCTTGGGCTTTGCAAAACCTCAGGCTGAGCCATGGGCCAAAGCCAGGCCAAAGCTGTGGCTCGGCTTGGGCTCAGCAATGGCTTTCAAAAACAAATGACTCAAAATTCAATGTAAGTAACACTCGAGTCCTACAGTACTTCATCGTCATCCACTGAATCAACATCAGACTCTTCCTCCTCCAAAATAAATGTATACCACCCCTCATCATCTGCTGGCTCATGTTCAGAATCTTCTTCTGTAAGGGATGGGGGACCAGGCTCCCGGAATATAAGTTCATTATGAAGAGAACACTTTATGCATTGTAGAGCCTCGATGATGTCTCCTTTTTTTATTTTTATTTTTAATCCAATTTCTGTCCTTTGCAGATGTAATCTATGTAGGACATTACGGTCTAGTCTATGGGACCCCCAGTGTCCCTTTCACATCTCCAGGTGCGCGGATGCCCTGATGTGAGGCTTGCCCCCATCAGTCTGCTGTTCCTGCTGGCTGTTTTAGGTATGCCACCTTGTTGATGAGACGACTTTTGAAGGTGTTTACATCAGTTATTTAACTATTGTATTTGACGTCTGGATGCATACTTAGTTGCCAAAGGCAATGGGTACAGGAATCGGGAGGGATGCAAACATGTGGATTGTAGTGGCCAATGTGTTCTTCGGCTGACAATGGATGTGTTTGGCTGATGCTGCTTCTTTTGCTGGTGATTCTGTGTAGGTGAGTGGGGTTATTTTGTGGTACAGGGTGTTGATACAGGGTTTAGTGCAAGATGGTGGTGATATTGAGTGTTGATACATGTTGCAGGAGTATGGACGTGAGGGTGTGTTAAACGCTGAATGCTGAGTGTTATGTTGATGACTTGTGTTTCTGCTAGGGGACTATCTGCATTGATCTAGGGGCTTGCGAGGTAATGGGATCTCACTGAATGTCTTCCTGAATCTCTGAGTTGCATTGAGGTATTGGACGAGGTGCTGGGTGGCCAGGGGATCCGCTAGAAGGAATGGTAGTGATGTGGCTTTGTGCCTGAGTGCGTTGATGAGAGTGTGACATCCACGGCAATAGAAGGGGCAGTCTAGTAGCAAGTGGGGTACAGTTTCATCTGTGCCCGGGCAATGCGGACAATGCGGTGTAGAGACTCGCGCCTCTCAATGCCGGATATACGGCCTTATTATTCACTAAAATTCCTACATATACCAGCTCTTGTCCAAAGGACCAGTCATTCATGCTCTCTTGTGTGCACCCCACATACGCGCCTCACTCGCGCATCATACACACACTCGCGCCTTCCACTGAAGGTACAACAATTCAGATGGTGAGTCTGAACAATGTGTTGGGTCTTGCAGAACCTAGCTGCTATTCGACCCTAAAGGGTTTCTGGACCAGGCTCAAGGCTCAGAGTAGAGGAAATATCATAAAAACTTGCTGAGCACTCAGACTCATACTGATACTGGTGAAAAGATTGCTTGCTTATGTAAGCTACAAAAGTGCCAACATAAGGTAAGGTAAAAACAGTCTCTACAAGCCCAGCCAGAAATGAATCCCTACACCGTGCGCATCCCTTTAGGCCTCTGCACTCCTATCATCCGTCCATCTGTTCCATGTCCTTACTGATTTACTGGTGCGTTATTCTTATCTCCTCCACTTAATTAACAAACCTTCAGTCCGATGTCTGCGCTTACATATATAGAGTTATTTAAACTTAGGATATATTTAGAGTTGATATGGTTACTCAGTTTGGGTCTGCACTTGGAAGTGCACAGCATAGCGTAATCTCTCTTCTTACATAGAGGGAGAGCTCTTTCGGTTCTGGTACTTACTTCCCCTTATCTCAGTATACTGCAAAAGTGTATAAGTGCACCTCCTTACTTGAAATCAGTTGATACTTTCCATTGACCAACACTCGCGCCTCCACTCCTCCTTAAGGAAGTCCTTTCTCTTATCGCTCAGAATGCGCCTTCGCTACATGTGCGCTCCTCGAACCTCCCGCTCGCGTGTGCCTTCATGTGCATTACCTTCTCACGCCTGCAAGCGCCCGCCTAGCTCGTAGAGTTTCCCTCCATTTTATCACTGAGGAACTTCTCTCAGTAGTTGTTCTTTGGGCTGAGTCTTTGTCTCGTATCCTGGTCTTGCTGTAGAGCACCCATTAGTTTTTAGAGCTTTCACCTATAGTCAAGATTCCTCACCTTCAGTGGGGATGGGGCTTTGCTTATGTGATGAAGGTGGTGACATAACAGGGTGTGTTGAGTGCATAAGGCCATATATATTCCTGTTAGGCATTTTGGAAAAGAGGCAGTTAGTTTGATGAAGGAGTGCTGCAGTAACTTAGGATCAATGTTGTTAATACAATTATAATGTGGTGACTTGTGCCATAGTCTTTTCCAGCGAGCATGCATGTAAGCTTTATGAGCGGCTTTGAGTGCTGAAATATTAAGTGGCATTGATCCATATCGAAGGAAGTTGGGCAGGTTTGCTGCAGGACTGTTATTATGGTGGCCTTCCACCGCCCTTTTTGCATGCTTGTCTGCTTCTTCGTTGCTGTGTACGTCAGAGTGCCCTGGGATCCATCGAATGGTGACCTTGAAGTCTCTGTGTTCCTTTGTGAGATCAGCTAATCTGTCACAGAAAAGATCGGTTAAATAAGAGCCTGGACGTGGATGAGAGCCTTCACCAGATTGAATCACAGCTTGGTTGTCGACAAAGATAGATATTGGAAAGGTAGGGTCTACTTCTGTGGCCAATGGCCTCTGCTTCAAACACTGTGTGTTCCTCCTCCATTCCGAGGTGGTAACGAAGGGGACTTGGGCATTGGCCCACATGGAATAAGGTCGCTGCGGCTCCAATCTTTCCTCCATGGCCTGAGCTGTCGCTATATATCTGGATAGTGTCTGTTAGTTGGGCCTGTTCCTCTATTGCTTGCTGTTTGGAGTCTGCTATCCGGACTTTGTGAACGTTGGAGTGTTGAGGAGGCTTGCGAGCAGAGATTAGAGATTTGATGTTGTGGGGAATGATGGAGAAGTGGTGTGTGAGGATGTGCAGAGAAGATCGATGTGCCCCAACTGTTACGAACTAGGATAGTTCTAACAACAGAAACTCGACAGAGTCTTTCGGCTGTTGAGATTTGTAAAGTCCTTCAGAAAAGAAGGGGTTCTGTAAAGACTTAATCGAAGGAGTGCTTTGACTAAGAATGCTAGTTCAGACGACTTAAGATTGGAGGTCTTAAGCGAAGGAAGTTCAGGTAAAACCTAGTAAGATTCAAGTGAAGTTCTACAAAGCTAATACATGTGCTTAAATAAGTCAATATGTGCGCATGGACCAAGGTAGTCATGAGATATAAGTACATGATCCAAGAAAGGTAAGTGATCATAGATGGAAGGCGTGTTATTGAACAAAGAGAGAAAAGAAGCAGAAGAAAAGTGTTATTGTAACATTGCCCCCCTACTAGGCATAAAGTCACCAACTTTAATCATCTAGGTTAGCGTAATAAATGGGGTCATCAGAATAGTCCAAGTCATCAGAACCTCCCTTCAACTGCTCAGCATGATAGAGAGCCTCTTCCTCCTGACACTGCGCGATGTATTGCTCGTCTCTAGTATTCTCCCAGAGGGCTAATGCGGTATAAAATCCTTTGTCCTTCCAGGTTAAGGTAGTAGGCGCGCTGCCCGTATACCTGGGACAATAGAATGAAAGATGTCCAGGACTTAACTCTCTGCATACTCTGCAGTAGTAATCTGGACAATGTACTTGACGATGCCCGAGAGTTTTGCAGTATCAGCAAACTCAATTTTCATCTGGGTTGGATGAAGTAGAGCGTAGTGGTGACAGACCAGGTCATGGTCTTAGTGCTTCGTCTGCACTAGTAGCCTGCTTCTTTCCTTTTCCTTTATAGGATTGACCGCATGCTCTTTTCCGAAGAGTAGCAGGTGGTTTTCGTTCAACAGGGTGCATACAAGCAACGTCTTGTTGTTCCACCTCCGCGATTAGCTCAGCAGGAGTAGAAGGAGTGGTTGCTCCTAGTGTCTCAATGGGAGTGATTCCGTCTTTGAATGTATGTGTGGATAATGATTTAGGGATGGTCATAGGAGGATGAATGTGAAGTGCTTCGAGCACGGCAGAGAGATCCTTGATTTCATAATAGGAGAGATATTGCTTGTTAGGGTTCGCTTCTATCTCCTCGTGAGTAGCGGAGAATGCTTTATAAAGATTTTCTGGATGATGTTGTGTTTCGACAAAGGCGTTAGATGGAGGAGTATTTTCGATGGGGGCATCTACAGGCGGTGTGATTTGTCGTTCTACAGGAGGGGTTTGATTTTCTATATTGAGAGCGGCGATCATGGCTTCCGTGGTTTGCATGAGACTATTGACAGCAGCCAACAGCTCGTTAGGAATATGAGGAGGAGGTACAGGTACTGCATCGTGGTAAGACGGGGGCGGGTTGTCAGTTGTTCTATTGACAGGGGATGGAGAAGGCAGACGAGCAACGCCCGCTGATCATTCTGTGACAATATGGATGACAGTTCTAATGTCATATTTAACCTCATCAGGAATAAGACACAAAGTAAAGTTGCGTATATGCCTCTGAAGGTGCATAATGCCATGTCGGACTGATTCGTCCTCGACGAGGCAAGTGAGTCTTTCGATAAGGTCTGTAGCTCTGACGATGTTGACGAGGAGATTGACGGAATATGCATTTCTTTCAAAGAGGATTCTGTTGAGTTCGATGGCATGTTGGGGGCAGAGCATGGCTGCCTCAATGAGGGTAAGAT